GTTTGGAATTTAAACTATAAATAGATATTATTATTGTTGTTGTTGTACAGTAATAAGTGATGTGATTATAATTACAGGTTCATCACATTGTCACATGTCAATTTATAAGACAATTTTTGACTTATCAAAACATAATGAGGTTTAAGCCCTGTGATACAAGTTTTAATATCATTCCAGTGTCATTGTAACATTCACAGGATATGTGTAGTGTAACATTGCAGTAAACATGAAGGCAGCTGTTACAGTAGTTATATGGACATTTTTACATGCCTTATATTTAAGCATTAAAAATATTTTGACAACACTTTTTTACAATGAAAATCAAGCAATAAGTTTACATTCATGATGAAAATAGTTCAGGGAAGATTTTAACATTCCATGAGAGATAGAGGTGATTCGTTCAAGGTATCCTATCCAGGTTTTTCCACCAAATTTTTATGATCAAATTGTGTCACAAATTTTTCTGTTGCTATACCAAGCCCATTATAAGTTGATTGCATACAATTAATGAAGTGCCCATTGCAGGTAATCACGTAAATGTGGTCTTCAAACAATTTAGTTGATTGTAAAGTACAGGAATATGCTAGAAACTTAGTGAGTGCTTGCATGTGATTCTGGTGCTTGGTAAATGGAAGCTACTTTTGTCTCTGCAAACTGTTTGAAGGCCATTGAAGACAAGGATAACAACATTTTCCTCCAATAAATGTATTAGTGATGAAAATTACACTCCCATAAGAAAATCTTAATCACCAATTTGATAGATATAGTGTTTTTCAGGCATATTATAAATTTTTTGTACTGGCCTAAGATCAACGCGTCCCCCTTTTCATATATTAAATAACATAACACTATACAAGTTGAATATTACCATCTTTTATAATAATTTTTAATTATGTGTTTATTTGGAAAATGTTTTGTTGCTTGATAGTCGACCTTTAACAGTATAATTGTTTAGCAACGGAATTCTGAAAGAATGTTAACTTATGTTAATCAGAATATATCATAACTGTGTAGTTACTTTTTAGTTATGGTTTGAATACTCTATTTTAATTTATATATAAATATCTGTTACCTTACTTATTTTGCCTCCTACCTTAAATCACTTTTCCTTGAGAAAATTTGCTTGTGACATTCCATATATTGATATATTATCTCATGTTTATATTTTTTCATAGTATTGAGGGCCAATTTGTTGAAATATCATTATATCTTGCTTTATTTATTTTAATATCAGATGTTCATATCACCTGTTAAATAAATAAGTAGTTGAGTTTTAGATTTTAATAAGGGTAAACCCTTAAACTTGTATCTTTTTTGGTAAAGCCTAGCTTTGACAAAAATTTCTTATATTTGTATGCTTTTACTTCATCAAGGTGCAATAGTCGTTACTTTAAACTTATAGTCTATATACTTATAGTCAATTCTTTAAACTTGTATATATGTACTAATGTTTAAGTTAGATGTTTAACAACTTTACTTTTTTATAATTATCTGTGGATCTTTTTCTGAAATTTAAGTCCACAGTTATTTCACATTGAAACTGACTTTCTTAACCTTCCACTAATCTAGTTATTCTAAATTAAAACCCACTTTTGTACATGGGTAATTTACACAGTATCTTTCAACTGTGATACATTGAATTCTGCAGATTTATAGTAAATGAAATTTTAGCATCTAACACATCATGACTGATGATACTTTTTTGTCATCCTTGATCAAATGAACGACACTAATGAAACCCATAATGCTAATATTAGATTAAATATACCTCCTCCCCTTTACCTTAATTTCAGTAGCACAAAAATGTTTTTTTTTATAATATAATCTAACAACATGTTATGGGTATTTAAATATTATCACTCCCTCTTAAAAAAGAAAAGAAAAATATATTAAGTGGTTCTTCATTTCTGGATCATTTTTAGGTCAACATTTTTGTCATCTTTCACTCCATTTGACAGCTTAACTGCCACAAAAATTGTTTATATTTTCTTAGTGTCTCATCCCTTTTAGAAGAATGACATTGAACTGTAATTAGCCAATTTACAAATATGCCAATTAACAGACATACACTTAAATTGTTAACTGTACGAATGACAAGACTAAGAATTATTTCCATATGCATAAAAATTTAATTTTTATTCTGAATTAGTTATAATAAAAACCAATGTTATGAAACTAGTTATATTTACAATATACCTTATCTATCAAATTGGCTGATAAAATAAAACACTTTCCCTCAACTTTTTCCCCCCAATTATCTACAGTGCCCTTCTTGCAAATCGTAATATATTTGTTATAGGTCACACTGGGAAACAAGTACAAGCTGGAAACTAGTAGCAATTTCAATACTTGCGAAGTCTTTACAGGTCATTGCCACTGAGGTGAATAACTACCGGTTTTTTTCCTTTATGGATATTTTTAATGTGCTTTACACAATTTGACTTCAAATTAGTTCTGTGGTCACAGTAGTTGCACTTGTACGGCCTCTTCCCTACTTCTTTGTGCTGGTAACGGACATGCTCGACAAACGCATTTTTCAGCTTAAAGAGAAAAAATTTTTAAGTCATAAAACAATCATGTCATCAAACCCATTATGTAACTATACACATATGGGATATTAATTTATATATTATTCCATGTACTGTGTGCATATGTCAGTAGAAAAATAAAAGATTTATTCCCAACCTTCGCAGGTTTCCCAACATGTAATGAAAATTCTATATGACCCCATTTTGACTGACAGCATGTTGACTGACTTCAAAATGTGATGTTTCGTTTTTATATGTGGTAAGTCCAAAAAAGGAAATAAATTGGCACTGTCAAACAGTAGCCATCATAAAGCCTCACATGCCCATTTTGACACATTGTCAAGAGTAAGTCACCCCCATGCAGAAACCCCACCCCACAAGTATGTCACTGCCTGGGTCAAAGAATATCAAAAATCAAAGAATAACAACTTTTCAAAAAAAAAAAAAAAAAATGTCTTCATACATGGCTATTTCATAGTACTGATGTTAAATTTTCTTTTGTGAAAAAATTGAGTCATGCACTCCAAGAAAATGCACTCTCAGGTGCAAAGGAATGGCAAAGAGCCAAATTAGAATGCACCGAGGCCAACAGCCATCTTCCTCTGAAAAAGTGGACCATGAAACCTTCATCTTCCTAGATAAACTTTTACCCAGAGGGGACCTTTTCCCAGCAAAAAGGGCAGTTTGTACAATCACCTGAACCTCCCCTGGCTATGGACTTGGTACATCCCTGAAGATAGGTCTATCAATCACCGACTTAGTTTTCATAACATCGGCAATAAGAACCAAGAGTATCACTATCTATGTATAAACAAAAGAACCCCAATATAAAAATATTTACCCGTGTTTTAAAGCTGCAATATGGGCAATGAAAATCATATGTATCTTTGTGGACCTTCAGGTGTGTTTTCAGAGAGCCTTGCTTCAATTTTTTTCCACAGATGTCACATACAATATCATATCCTTCTGAAAAAGGAAATTGTTGTAAAATGTAATCATCGTATATCACAAGCTTACATGTATATCTGCAACAAGTGAATGATAGGATTTATCCCAAGAACAGAAACAACACATCTAATAAGACTTGCCACAGAAATAGATTAGTTTTGGCATATTTGAGACAACAATTTCTTCAAAACAACAATCTAAAGTTTCATCCACAGCAAGCACGGGTAGTAATCAGGTTGCAAACCCTGGGTTTGGAGGGTAACGTAGACAATCTAGGATAAAGTTTTTTTTTCCTCAGTGGTTTCTGCATCCTTAAAATCCCCATAATATGTATATGTATCTGATGGTTAACATGCACATATTATTGTGTATTTTGAGAAAATCCAAATTATCTGCCAATGCCATAGGAATGTATGAGTGTCAACTTCGAGCAGGGAGCTACAATTATGATTGTTTCGGAGTGTTTCTTCAATACCCCTACATATACATTTTAAACTAAAGAGACAGTTGTAAAATAACTTACTATAAAGCTGCAGTCAAATAATCATTGCTCACCGATATGTGCACGCTTGTGCCGTTTCATACCGCTATTTGTCACACATTTGTAGTCGCACACATCACAACTGTAAATTTTACCTTTGACTGGCAGTATACCGTGTTTTTTATACTGATGACCTGTGAGAAAAAATTGCAATAAATCATACAAGCATCTTAAATCATTTTAAATGATTTTGTCATAAAAACAAATGGGAATTAATGGCAATAATTCCCCACAGCTGCCTTTCTCTCTCTCTCCATTTCACTACCACACAGCTTTTACACAAAGTTGGGTGGGAGGGTAGCAGAAGAGCCATTTTCAATTCTTCTCAAAGAATTGAAGTCAGTTTTTACTTTACCAAGGTAAGTCTAGTTTAATTTTTCAATTTTTTTTTTTTTTTGAAATAACAATTTTATCAGTCTTAACTGAGACTTTAAAACTTAATGAGACAAAATATTCTTACATTATTCATTTCAAATAAAATTTTCTTGCAATGGTAAATAAGCACTGTTTTTATAGTACAGTACATGCAAAACTCACAAAATGTAAAACATATCAATTAATAAATCCGAAATAATAAAATGACTAATAAATTAGGCAAATATTGTTTTTAAGGAAATACAATTAACAGTATTACTTTTGTAAATAAAAGCACAATATTATAAAAAGACTGGATAGATCCTAAAATTTGTAAAATATAATAGATGTAAATAACTCAATACAAAGTAAAAATATATAAATAAACCAACTTTCAATTGTGATTCTGGAATCAGTAGAATATTCACAATGAGTGCACAAAAATGACATGGTTTCTCCTCTGCATCTCTTCAGATGAGACTTCAAAGCAGTTTTATCTTTTGCCTTTTTGCCACAATGTGGGCAATTGCATACATAACGCATTTCATGTTGAACCAGCTTATGGGCAGTCAGTGACCTAAAATTTAAATTGAAAAGTTTTTTGCAATGCTTAAAGTCATATTAAACAAAATAAAACTTATTCCGAGAATATGGGGTTGAATATATATAAATATATATCAGGCTGCCACTGATATATAGACAAAATTGATTGAGCTTTAAGTAATAATATCTAATATCCAGAGGAACTGGAACAGAATTAAAACGGCTAGAGGCAGCGGCAGATGACGGCTATATGTACAGACACATCATTGTCTGTTCATAAAAAGCAATTACATGCTTTTGTACGTGGCAAACTAAAGCAGGTCAATTTTATGCAAACTCATGCTATATACTATATATACAAATGCAATAGAATTTACAAAGATAGTAAAATAAAAATATTTCAACTGCTGAACAAGATGTATTACCCCCTAGAAGAGTACTTCCTATTGCACAGTGAGCAAGTAAAATTCTTCTCATTTAAATGTTTGGCCTTCAGATGACTCTCAAGATTAGGCAAGTGGTATGTCAGGTAGGAGCAGTTATCATGTGTACAACGTAGAGCTTTTTCTTCATCAATCACACCATGCTTGGAGTACCTGTGTTGTAACTGCTCTTTCTCTGTCCTATACACTTTATTACATATTTCACAAGAATATTTTTTGCGCTGATCATAATGAAGATAAATGTGCCTTTTGAGATGCTGTTTTACTGTAACGGCATGGCCACATATGCAGCACTTGAATGGAGGATCAGTATTGTGCTCCTCTTTCAAATGAAGTATAATGTCTCTGCTTGTTGAGCATGCCACATGACAACCCTCTTCTGTGCAGATGTAGAGGTTTTTTTCATGGGTTGTTTGTTGATGCAATCTATATAATTCCTTGATCGTGAACATCTCATAACAATCAGGGCAATGGAAGGTCTCTTGAAATATTCCCAGTCCATGACTATCTGCCTGATGTTCAACAAGTTCTTTTGCATTCTCAAACTGTGTACCACAAAGTTCACACCTATTAAATATTTTTGTTAATTCAGTTGATATAACATTCCTATCCTCTCCTTCAAATATGGGAACCTTCAACTGAAACGGAATATTTTTAAAGGTCTGTTTGCCATTCAAAGTTTTTTTATCACCTTTCTGACCCTTTGAAAACTTCTTTGCTGTTTTCTTGTTGTGCTTCAGTTGAATATGTCTTACAAGTGAAGACCTAGAGATGAAACCCTTATAGCAAGTGTAGCACACATGGTTTGAGGTGGTTGTGTAAAATGGACTTTTCCCTCTGTTTCTTAACCTCCGGTTAACACTTACTCGCATCGATTTGAGCAAAACCCCATAGCATTTTTGGGCTAAAAAGTGAAGACATTTTTCTTTTACATTGGGAAAGGAAGATTTACAGCTTACACAGAAAAAGTTGCCCTTAGAATTACTTCCAATCCCAGAATCTGTCGGATTGAATTCAGCCATGTTCTGAGTGCCACTGGGCCAACCCACCTCTTCTAAGCGCTTGCATATTACCGTAGCTGCAAACAATTTACCATCATCCATGTTTTTTACCATTGGCTCTTTTTCATCGCAGTTTAATGAATTACTGAATGCCATTTGGTTTTGTATGATATCAGTGCCACATTCAGATCCTATGTCATTGTTTGCTGTGGGATCCTCTGGAGGCATGGCACTCAGAATGCGTTCTGTTCCACCAATCTCTCTCCTACCAAACTGCCCTTTCTCAAATTGATGGACCAAGTCCTGTACCTCCAGTTTTTTTGCCGTTTTCAACAAATCTCCCAAGCAACTAACTGGCACATGGATCTCTTGGCCATACATATAGTCTAGCACATAGCTAAACATCTCTTCACTTATATCTGAGAGAACGACACCACAATTGTTAATTACCGACAAGCGGAAATAGTCAGCAAAATATTTTGAGTAGGAGACTAGGATAAGTTTATGGGCATTGTAAATTTTCCTCCCCACATGTACAATTGCATCACAATATCTATTGTTACTTCTTAAATCTGAAGCAGTTTGAAAAAAGGAAACCTTTGCTTTAAGGCTGGTGCTGATGATAACTTCACCCATCATCCACAATACAAATTCTGAAAAAGGAAAAAAAAAAAAAAGAATTAAGTATTTGAATATGATTTACATGTAAATTGATGATGCAATTTGAAGGTTGAAAAAAGTACATTTTAATATTTTACTTTAAAGTTTTTGGGAGATTGAGTTTGAAAATGTAAGGCAAACTTTAAAATCATAATGTTATGTTACTGCAACATTAAACCTTGAGGCACTTTTGCAGCATACACTCCACTAAATCAATCTGAAAAATTGACTTCAACTGCCAATGATTGTCTGTGATTTGGAATCCTGCAGCAGGTAGATTGCAAATCACTTAACTTACCTTGATAACCCTTACGTTCACATGTCCTCAAAGAGAAAATACTCATGACACAATTGGTTTTATCAAGTTGTGAACTATACTAATTACTGCTAGCTGACATAAACTATATGCTGGCAAATGTAACATGTTACAAGTTTTGAGCTGCATTGTTCTTTTAAAGGGAACTGTTTATTTCAGAGTCTGCCACACATGCACTAAGGCAAAATGATGAAAGCTTGTAAGCTGTGTAGCCAGCTGCACTGCCAACACTTTTAAAAATTACTGTAATACACTTTTCTTTTAAAATACTTTTTAAAAATTCAAAATATTTGTAATTCCTAACAGAAAACAGAGAGAAAGGAGTAGGTCATGCATACGTGACAAAAGACAGTGTCGTGTTGATGGAAACAAGATTTGTCCCCAAATGTTGGTCCCCAAAAGAAGCCATGGGATAGAAGCCATATAGCCTTGATAACATGGCCACCCATCCAGCCCACTCGACCCCTCTTGCTGTACCAGCACCATTTAATCACAGTTTATATTATCATGTATTGTAATATTTAATGTAAATGCATCTTTCAGCACTCTGCATTTTCCTGGTCTTTTAAAATTCCACAGTAAATGGCTCACTATCCCTGACAGAGGTGATCAAGCCCTGTGAAGACTGATATAATGTGACAAAGCCATACACATTTATCATAGAAGTTTAAGCAATCCACCACATTTTTTTAGCAGCACTACCCCATTGGCAAAGAGTTCCAAAATTTACAAAGTTTAAATAATCTTCTTCCAATATAGGTAAAAGAGAAAATTTAGTGTAAAATTAAAGAGACCAAAAACATGGTATGATATTCAACTGAAATTGGGAAACCTACATAGATCAATCAGGAATTCTCTTCAGGAAATACACTGGTACCTGCCCCAGCCCCAATACGGATATATGCCCTCTGAGGTCAAACTCCTCTTCCAAAGATTTCAAAGGCGACTCGCCCTCTTTTATGCAGTCATGCTAAGTGACCCGGTCAATATATTTAGGATTCATCCTGATTGTCTAATGACTGCCCACTACCAAGTTACCTCTGAATATAATATATACTATTATTTATTATTCTTGGATATTATCAATTGTCTTAAAATATCAAAAGTGGCATTTTACAGGACAACAGAAGGTAAGAATATGTACCAAGTTTGAGCATCTTTTCTTTTTGGATTTTTATCGTTTATTCTCTGTGATTCTGTTTCACAAGCTTACCTTGTTTAACTGTCCCTGTGGCAGTGTGTGTGTGTGTGGAGGGAGAAGGGTACACATGGCGACTTCATGAAATTGATTTTGATCGCTTTTTTTAGTTATGCTTCATTAGTGTGGCAGTCTAGGGTAGTTTTACGTGATTTTTTGGCTAAACGCTAAATCATGGTGACACTAGACAGTCGAGATTGTCTGCACGATGGTCTGACCACCACAGCAACACTATCACTAGTCGACACGGTACTTGGCAGAGGCGATGATAGTGTATAGTGAAAAGACTTGTTAGTGATACAGCAAATAAGCTAAACACTTAAAGCAAAAGAAAAAATCATCTCTTAACAAGCACTCATAAAGATTAATATACTTACGACTGCTTTTAAATATACAAGCTCAAACGTTTGGCTCGCAACAAAGCGTGCTTCTGCAGATAATTTTACCGGAAACGATACCACTATGTATAAAACCAGGCTTTATCATTTTGAAATACAGTTGATATATTTTCCTATCAATTTAACAGATGCGTATAGCTGTTGAAATATTCCAAAGTAAAATTCTAATCTTTATTTTTCATCTATATACCATTTTATTGGAAATGTTCAAATGAAATTAGTAGCAGATTATATAACTATTGCTTGTTGCATAAATGCTCTTCTCTTCTTGCGGTTAGCTGTAATCAATTCAAGATAAGCCACATTGCATTTACAAACAAGACAAAAGCGGGCGAGTTTTCAGCATTTACATGGAAAAGACATCATAGTGCATAACTACGTCGTATATTAGCCTGTTTGTCATATTACATTTACAAATAAGACAAAAGGGGGCGAGTTTTTAGCAGTGACGTTAAAATTTCTTCGTAGCTCATAACCTTTCGAAAACAAAACGAATACCTCTACAGGGCTAAGCATTTAGTGAGAGTGAGTTGTATCTTAGGCAAGCTCCAAAGCCTGACCCAGCAGACAAACGACATTGATTCACCGTTGAACCAACGTTAATTTTGGTGGATCAATGTTGAATCAACGTAGAATCAATGTCGTTTGCCTGCTGGGGAGGTTACAGTGACATTGTAATTAAAAATTTTCCCTAAAAATAACAATATAACATTGTGTTAACTATAATTCTATTTTCAAACTCAATTCCCTCAAAAAGTAAAATGTAAAGTATTTTTGTACTTTTTTCAACCATCAAATTGCATAATTTACATATTAATCATTTTCAAATACTAATTTTTTTTCCTTTTTCAGAATTTGGATGATGGGTGAAGTTATCATCAGCACCAGCAGTGAAGCAAAGGTTTCTTTTTTTCAAACTGCTTCAGTTTTAAGAAGTAACAATAGATATTGTGATGCAATGGTGCGTGTGGGAAAGAAATGGTACAGTGCCCATAAACTTATTCTAGTCTCCTACTCAAAATATTTTGCTGACTATTTCCGCTTGTTGGTAACTAACGATTGTGGTGTCGTTCTCTCAGATATAAGTGAAAAGATGTTTAGCTATGTGCTAGACTATATGTACGGTAAAGAGATCCATGTGCCAGTTAGTTGCTTGGGAGACTTGATGAAAACGGCCATAAAACTGGAGGTACAGGACTTGGTCCATCAATTTGAGACAGGGCAGTTTGGTAAGAGAGAGATTGGTGGAACAGAACACATTCTGAGTGCCATGCCCACAGCAAACAATGACATAGGATCTGAATGTGGCACTGATATGATGGATGATTCTAATTCTTCTGACTCTGTATTTCCTGTGAATGGTTCAGATTATTTAAAAAAACAGCATATCATACAAAACCAAATGGCATTCAGTAATTCATTAAACTGCGATGAAAAAGAGGCAATGGTAGAAAACATGGATGATGGTAAATTGCTTGCAACCACGGTAATATGCAAGTGCTTAGAAGAGGTGGGTTGGCCCAGTGGCACTCAGAACATGTCTGAATTGACTCCGACAGATTCTGGGATTGGAAGTAATTCTAAGAGCAACTTTTTCTGTGTAAGTTGCAAATCTTCCTTTCCCAATGTAAAAGAAAAATGTTTTCACTTTTTAGCCCAAAAATGCTCTGGGGTTTTGCTCAAGTCGATGCGAGTAAGTGTTAACCGGAGGTTAAGAAACAGAGGGAAAAGTCCATTTTACACAACCACCTCAAACCATGTGTGCTACACTTGCTATAAGGGTTTCATCTCTAGGTCTTCACTTGTAAGACATATTCAACTGAAGCACAACAAGAAAACAGCAAAGAAGTTTTCAAAGGGTCAGAAAGGTGATAAAAAAACTTTGAATGGCAAACAGACCTTTAAAAATATTCCGTTTCAGTTGAAGGTTCCCATATTTGAAGGAGAGGATAGGAATGTTATATCAACTGAATTAACAAAAATATTTAATAGGTGTGAACTTTGTGGTACACAGTTTGAGAATGCAAAAGAACTTGTTGAACATCAGGCAGATAGTCATGGACTGGGAATATTTCAAGAGACCTTCCATTGCCCTGATTGTTATGAGATGTTCACGATCAAGGAATTATATAGATTGCATCAACAATCAACCCATAAAAAAACCCTCTACATCTGCACAGAGGAGGGTTGTCATGTGATGTGCTCAACAAGCAAAGACATAATACTTCATTTGAAAGAGGAGCACAGTACTGATCCTCCATTCAAGTGCTGCATATGTGGCCATGCCGTTACAGTAAAACAGAATCTCAAAAGGCACATTTATCTTCATTATGATCAATGCAGAAACTTTCGTTGTGGAATATGTAATAAAGTGTATAGGGCAGAGAAACAGCAGTTACAACACAGGTACTCTAAGCATGGTGTGATTGATGAAGAAAAAGCTCTACGTTGCACACATGATGACTGCTCCTACCTGACATACCACTTGCCTAATCTTGAGAGTCATCTGAAGGCCAAACATTTAAATGAGAAGAATTTTACTTGCTCACTGTGCAATAGGAAGTACTCTTCTAAAAGGTATTTTATTGGGTGATAAATAATTAACTTAATTATCTTTGTTATTCTTATTGCACGTGAAAAATGACTATTGAGTTGGTATATAATTGTCTTTGTCAAATAAAAATGGTTCCTGAGAGGTGTGCACATGTGTGCATGTTATGTTGGTAATTATCTTCTTTGTAAGGGAGCCTGACTTCAGATTTTTGTGAAACCGGAACCTGGACCAAAGTTCATATTTTTGTAATTCAATCAATTTTATTTTTTGCTGAGCAGCTTAATATATATATATATAAGATATATATATACTGGGGTGGCGCTAGCATTTTTTTTAGTTTAGCCAAAGTGCTACTTTTTCATCACTTTTTTCTTCAAATGGCTTAAATTTGACTAAAACAAGTCAAATCAACTGTATTTTGTGTTTTAGCATTTTGCTAAATTGGCAAGTGTTATTGCTACCCCAGATATATATACTTAACTTGGTCTTATCAAATGTGGTTTTATTTAAAACTCAGAATTTTATTTTTAGCTCACTGGCCGGCCATAAAGTGATTCAACATGAAATGCGTTATGCATGCAATTGCCCACATTGTGGCAAAAAATTGAATGATAAATCCATGTTAAAAGTTCATCTGAAGACATGCAGAGGAGAAACCAAGTCTTTTTTGTGCACTCATTGTGACTATACCTGTCACTGGGAAAGTTATCTTGAAGGTTGGTTTTCAATATTGTTACCTTGTCATGACAGTTACTATTTATATGAACAGTTATGTAATATATATCATGTGTGCTGGATATTTTAATTCCATGAGATTGAAGTGGCAGCTTTCAGAGCTGAAAGATACAATGGAAAAAATAACTGCTGCAGTATCTCCACCTTAAATGTCTTGAACTTAAAGAATCTTTTTAATTGAGAAACTTAAAAACTTTTTTAAAGAAATTTATTGAATCAAGATTTCAATGTTAATTGATTTCTTTTATGGCATAGAACTATTTAAAGATGCAGCTTTTATTTTACAGTAATATATACTGACAGTCAATGAAAAGGCATCAGAAAACTTTCTTGTACTTTTTTACCGAGAATCGATTCCAACCATATAAATGAGTACAAATGCACTTGTTTGGTCATAAGAGAGTGTGCTGACCACCATTTCATATTTCACATATTTCACACTATAACTGTTATTTTCTTAATGTACCAAAAGAACTTAAAATATTATTTGTTAAATAAATGCGTTTTCATTGACTCTCAGTATAAATAACATGTAAAATCCAGCTTTTAGTGGCAAGAGTAAATATTATTTTTATTATTATTATGAGATTCAGAGTACTTAAATACAGCTTCAGTTGGAAAACCAGTCTCATAAGATTCTTTTTTTATTTATTTATTTAAGTTATGTAAGTTTGGTAAAATTTTGATTTTTTACATATTGGTATTTTCAAGATGTGACTTAGAACTCCCATGGTCCTGAAGCTCTTTGCTAGTTGTAAACATTTTCTGAAAGTCCATTAGACTGGTTGTTTCCCATGAACCTATCCTATTAGCAGGATCGATCTAACTCTGAGGGGATTATCTCTAAATTTTTGGTTAGTATATGATTAAATCTGAAACAAGAAGAGGTGTGTTAGTCTTTTAATCTGATTGCATTTGGGAGGAGTCCCTGTGGAGTTAGTGTGCTTTAGCTATTGTGACCTAACTAATTCTGGACAGCCCCTCATTCATATTCATACACAGACGGAGAAATCACGCATGACCTTCTTTGACTCAATAACCCACATTTAGGATGCACATAAATTTTATTATAATTTATTTTTTTACCCAGGCCACCAGTATGTAAAACATGGTATACTGCCCACCAAAGGTCAAGTTTACAGTTGTGATATGTGTGACTACAAGACTGTAAGGAAGGAAGGGATGAAGCGTCATAAGACTACTCATATAGGTGAGACTAGAACGATGAGTATTTGCAGTTTATTAACAACAGATTTTTGGGCAGAATGGTAGGTGATTTAGCATGAATCTTGACACTTTTTGTAAAGACACAATATGCACTCAAAATAGTATGATTAAGTTCTTGGTGCAAGTTGAGTACACGGAGTAAGCACTTATTTAGCACTTATCTTGGCTTTCTTCATCCCAATCATTCCCATTATATAGATGCTGAGCTACTGAATGCCCCATTTTAGTGTGCATCAGTAGGCTTCCTAACTACTACACATGATTGAGTACTATGTGATAAATCCTGCTTTCCATTTCCAGAAGGGGCAGAAAGAGATGAATGTAACATCTGTGGTAAAACTGTTAAGCAAGGTTCATTGAAAACACATATGAGGGTCCACAGAGACACATATGACTATCATTGCCCATATTGCAGTTATAAAACAAGGGTGAGTATTTTTTTTTTTTTTAATTTTGTGTTTCTAGCTAGGATACCATAGTGACACTTGTGCAGTTAACTTACATAATTTGGTAGGAAAAAAGAATTCATTGATTTTTTGTTGAATTAAGATTAACATTTAATGAAAGCTTGTAGTTTGTCAGTCAATGTTTCCACAAAACGATATGAAATACTGAGTATTTCATAACAGTATTAAAATTCACCTTGAAATGTTGTTAGAAAATATAATTTCTCCATATATTTTCTGTAGACACATGCACATAAATGTGGAGCAGTATGTAAAATGTACTAGTTAATGAAATGCTTTGCCTTAAAAATAAATTTCTTTTCAAGACAAGCACTCCTTTCATCATGCATGTGCGTTACCAGCACAAAGAAGTTGGGAAAAGGCCATACAAGTGCAATTACTGTGACCACAGGACAAATTTGAAATCAAATTGTGTAAAGCACATTAAAAACATCCACAAAGGAAAAAAACCTGTAGTTATTCACCTCAGTGACAATGACCTGTAAAGACTTGGCATGTATTGAAATTGCTACTAGTTCCAGCTCCTACTTTACCAGTGGGACTTAAAACAAATATTTTAGGATTTGCAAGAAGTGCACAGTGACTGTAGAAAATTGGGAAAAGAAGAATGGAAACTGAAATCGAGGAATAGTGCTTTTATTGTATCAGCCAGTTTGATATTACAGTATGTGGTGAATATTAATGGTTTTTTAACATTTTATAATAATTAATTCAGAATAAAAAATTTATTTTTCCTGCATGTGGAAATATTTTTAGTCTTGTCATTTGTTCAATTAACAGAAGACATGGGGAAACTGTCGCCCCTACCTAAAAAGCCAGAGGACTGACTTAATTTTTTATATCCCAGGTCCTCTGGACTGACAAGATTTATGTGAAAACGTAATACATATTAAGTAAAAAATCACACGTAAACATTGACTAAGGGAAATTAAACACTTACTCCAGACCAGCACAGAATTGAGACCTGCAGACTCTCTTTAATGCAGGTCCTGACCTTGTTAACAAATAATTATGACTTTATAAATTGGTATATATTTGTAAATTGCCTAATTTCACTTGTCAAACCCATTCTTTTAAAGGGATGGAACAAAATATGAACAAGTATTCAGACAACTAACCTGTCAAAGGGCAGAAAAAAATGACAAATATGTTCACCCAGGCTCCTGCATCATGGTGGATGCACAAACTGGTCTCAATTTACACCTTTTGAGGCCATTGCTTTCATGGGTTGGCACAGTGCACACATCAGAAACCGTAAATAGTAGTGCTTACACATGAATTCTGTTCTACTGTGATATGATCATTCACTTATAAATACTTAAATGTTCACTTTTCAACATTTTTGGAAATAAAACCTATTCATTGCAGTTTTTTTAGGTTACAACTTCAACTAACAGAGAGGAGAGATTTAATAAACAGTGACTCTAAATTGTGGGTCAGTTGCCATGTTGGCTAGTGGCCCTTCATGGCAATATTGCCAGCCAAGGACAGCCACTAGCCCACAGGCAGCTGATCGGACAATAAGCAAATCGTGCTAATTTGTTAAGTTGTTTCAATGATACTAATTATGTAATAATGAATTTCGCTTTTATATTACACAATTTGGTGTACTGTGCAATTTAGGGACACGTACTGTTTAGTAAACATTGCACGTACTGCAATAGCAAAATGATTGAGTTAGACCCTGAAATTTCCAAAGCCAAGTCTGGCAAATGCTTTGTCTCAGTTTTCAATGTAAAACTTACAGTCTAGATCTATTAAAGCAATTTCACCTTAAAGGTACATACGAACTGAGCATAGGTAGAGCGTGGATATCCAGTAACACATGTAAACCACTTCGACATGCCAAGGGATAAACTGAATAGATCACTCGATCAGCCATAAAAGAGCTTTAGACTGCTCCTTTCTTTAACTTTTTGGTCGGAAATTTAACCTACTTTCGTGACCTATTTTTCTGCCTCATTGGCATACAGCATAGAATGCTAGCAGAAAAATCTGTTCAAACATAACTTTCGGGTAAAATTAAACAATGCCTTTTGGTTATTCTCTTACTTATACTATTTGAAACTATATGCTGGTATTTGGTTGGTTTTTGTGACAAAAAATTGACTTTGTATGCATCTTTAACTTGTTAAAGGCAAACTTCTAGAGGGGAAGGTGGACTGGTTGCAGAAAATGCGCCTTTCGGTCAACAAGTAAGTGACCTTTATCAGCTGCAAGTCCAAGGGTACAGAAAAAAATGAAAAGGGAGAAGAGGGGTGGTCGGAAAACAAAGGTGTCGCGTCTTTGTAAGGTGATTTTTCTTCAATGGCACCTTGCAAGCATTCTGTATAAAGTTACAACACCGGTGTCATGTGTACAGTCAGTTCTGCGTGAACCATCCGTCCTGACCGATTGTACATGCAGCAGACGCGTGTATGAGCCGTTTCGTGAATGATCCATTGTTATTCACCTGTACTGATATATGGCTAGTTCATCTCCGTGGTATCCTACCTCATTATACATATACTATGATGAGGATATTTCTAGGTAAAATTCATGTGTTTATTGATAATTTTGATAGAGAATCAGCGTCAAATTACAGTTCGACGCATGGATGAACATACCGTGGACGGGCCGTCGTTATTCAGCTGTTGGCGTACTATTTTAGTATTGATTTTACTAGGCTAGTGTGTTGATATGGCCACCTGAGGGAAATCGCAGTAGAAGTGAACATCTATATAAGATATGAATACTTCTAAAGACTGTTTGAATTTGCAGTATGTTCTCAACAGTGCATGTTTATTAAAGGCTAAGAATGTATTGATGACTCGATAGAGACGGACTGTACACGCCGGAAGTCTCTTAGATTTGCCTGCACTTTGTGCGCATGAGCAGAACGGATGGTTCACGCTCCGAGCGGTACACGCCACACCGGTGACCTGGAAAACAGGATAAATGTGATGTTTAGAAAAGGTACTCCTTCATTAGTGTTCGATCCGTTTTTAAAAGGTTAATCAACTACTTGGTAATAGTTATTAGACGAAACTTTAATTAAATTCACTACTTTTGTCTTCTATACTGAAAAAGTCGTCCTCTGACTTCTTTGTTAAACTTTGAAAATCCCATGTGGCTCATCTTGGGTTGATCACAGCATTCTGCAAGAATGGAAAGTGCATTTCTGCATCAAACAACAATTAATTTTATCTGCCGTTTATTTCATGTATACCTATTAAATAGTATAACATACAGAAAAGCAATAAAGATTAGTATTTTTTATATAGTTAGGTATATTTCATGAGCTATAAACATTATGTTTGTGCGCTATAAAATCACGGTATTTCAAAAGATAGAGTCTGGTTTTATATGGAATGATACAGTTTCCGGTAAACCACTTCGCGGAATCACGCTCTAAATTTGTTGTAAATGTGGAGGTTTTAATTGTTCACAGCAAATGTTCGAGCTTATATAGAAACTGTCTTATATTCTGAGCAGTCGTGAGTACACGAATTTTAAGTGCTTGATTAGAGGTCATTTGTCACCTTTGTTTCAAGGATTTTGCCTTTTTGCACTTTAACTAAATATTAACTCCTCAGGCTCTGCCAAATACTGTAGCCTGTTCTGGACAGTTAGACTAGCAAACTTGCAAAGTGTTACTGTGGTGTGCATTAGAGTTTGAAAGAAAAATAGTTAACCAAGGCTTAGGCTTTTTTTAATTTTCCTAGATAAGATTTATGTCCAGTGGCAGGAAAGAGGTTTTAAAGTTTTGTTTCTGGGAAAGATCTCATGATAGTTCACCTTTAATACAAAAGAATGATGTATTTCAGATGGACCCTCATTTGCAAGGAGGGCCTGGGGAAAAGAAGGCCAAAGGTCCAGCTCCTACAGTTGAGCAAATACAATCTGATATAATAACACAGGTAAAGAAGTACACTTACTTTAGTTGACTAACCAACATTGTGTTTACAATAATTAAAGATTTATTAGTTGATAAAAAATCATTTGAATTAAATTGAGTGCACTTGTGTTTTATGTTCATTTTCACCATTCTAAGGGTTATCTTCAGATGACTGCTATTGTGAAGAATGTGTTGGAAAGTGATTGCTAGTATGCATGCATGTTGACATAAGCTTAAGGCATAATTTTTAGTTAAAAAAAGAAAAGTCTTACATTAGTAAACCAAAAAAAAAGCCTGTTTCATGTTAAATGTTATCCCCTCCTCTACCAAATTTCTGGAAATGACAATTTTTGAGATAAATTACAGAGAATATTTAAGATTATGTGAGGATAATTTATATGCCCCTCTCCAGTACCAAAATTCTTGTAATGTTTTATTTATATGTTGAACTGATCTAGCTAAGAATTTTGTGCATAATTTTTCTTTATGTAAAGCATATGTTTAATATTGTCATGTATGATACATTAATTTATTTTGTGATATTTAGTTGGCCAACCAGTATTGGTCTCCACAAAGAGGAGCCACAAGATTGCCTTTTAATCCTAAGGTAAATCACCTAACTTGTTAAAGATTTGTTGTCATTGGAATTTGCATTAAATATATGTGTAATTGTTGATAAAAAAGGTGAAAGTAAAGTTAAGCTCTTGTATACTGCACTCCATCTGCATCTCAGTGCGGTTTACATTGGATGCCTAATCATTTTTGGCCCTGATACAAACTGGGTGTAGATGTCCTCACCTCCCTGGGGAGGATATAGCCCAGCTGCTGTATATATAATATATAACATAGATCACAAAGATTATATATTAAGTACTGTGGTTTGTATGGTATTTTCTGCTGTCCGTTGTTTTACACCAAACCACTACAGATAAGTTGCCAGTTTGAGATTACATAATATACGTATTGAAAACTTTTCAAAGCAGTTGGAAATTAATTATAAAAATTGCCTGTCACAAACAATGGCTAAATTCAAAAGCAAAATGTTGGCTTTAACAATTTTTGCCAGTCACTAAGACCAACTGAACATTATTTTCTACGAGTCTGAAATTTTATCAGTTATAAATTGTAGCACCAGCAGTTTCAGCATATCTGGAATATGACAGAAATTTGTTGAATTATTTTTTGGTGTAAACAGTGGATTTGACATAACTGATAATATTTTTTACAGATAATAGATGACATTTATCAGAAGGAGATTCTTGGAACAAAGTAAGTTTTCAATTTGAACATATTGAAAAAAAGCATTAAATAATACAGATTGCTTGTCATCGTTTAATGCATAATGTATAGGCATTCTTGAGAAAGTGTATTTATTTTCAATCATATTTTTAAAGAAAGCAAAGTCACATGTCTCATATGAAAGAAATTGAATCCAGGAATATAACGTATGATGGCAACCCAGTCAAATAAAATTGTATTTAGGTGTCATCTTTTTACACTTCTTTAATGTCTGAACTTTTTTGCAGGTTTGCCATGAGAAGGACTATGATGTTGGAATTCAGGTATTTAGTTATATATCTTTATATTTCATAAGTTTTTAAATGCCTCATTTATTCCATTTTTGAGGGTTATCATTTTTCAGTTTCTCTCAAAAAAATCATTTTTTACATGAATTCAATTTGGAACTTCTTAATCTCCTGAACTGGGTATTAGATCGATCATTGTTTTTGGAAATATTGTTTGGAAATGTCATTTTTATTTAATATTATGAGTAAGTACCATTATTTAATATTGAACATCAGCACTTATTAGAAAATACTTTGTGAAAATAAATTTACCATTTCCAAACATCGTTGTTAGGCATCGTTGTTATTGTTAGTTATTCCCTACATAGCCAAAGTTTTAATAAATATGTTATGATTGCATAAAATTAAGTTTTTGTTTAATTGTATTTTCAGTCAATATTTGGAAAACTATCTTTGGCCAAATTTCACTGAAGACAAGGTATTTCTGTTCATTTATTTTGGTTCACCCAATAATTAGTGCATGTTTCACAGTTTTTCCATGATCCTGAAAATGTACACTTTCTATTGTACCTGATGTGATAATAAGGAATTATTTGATATAAACAAAAATTATGCCAGCAGGAAAGGAAATTGAAAAATGGGATGGTTATGAAATGGAGTAAATTTAATTTTAGTGTAGGTCTTTGACTGTGCTTGGCATAGTATTCAATTTGACATAAATGTTGTAATTTATTTTCATTTTAGGCAAGCCGTGCTCACATTTTGACCATTTGTGTCATGGTGAATGAAAAATTCAGGGAAAGAGTCCCAGCCTGGGAGGTAAATAAACATCTGTTAATTATTTTTTTATTTTGGATGTGAGCATTGTAGATTAAGGATAAATGTAATTCAGCTGAAATAAATATTTTTTTCTTTTTTTCTTTTTAGATTGTGGCACTTTATTGAAAAATTGATTTTATCTTAAGGATTCGTCACTTTTTTATTTGTGACGAATGTTGATGCTTGAAAAGAGTTTTTTAACCTATTCATTGTCAAAAAATGTCTGTTATTGTTGTAGGATTATATTTTATGAGTTTTTTTCTTTTTTAAGATTTCCCCAGAAATAGAAAAAGTTGTTGCTGGCATGTTCTTTATGTATTCTGCTGTTATTTTTCAAGGCATTTCAGATGTTTCCAGATAAATTTGGAGGTTTCTTCAGTCGGGTCATGGCAACATCTCTGGCAGATGATCTTACGCTTAGAGAACAAACGGTTCTCTTGGTCTTCCTGAATCACTGCTTTAACAGTGTGGTGAGTAATTAATGTCCACCTGCACACAGCATGAAAATAGTTTGGCAGCAGCAGTAACTTATATATATATATATATATATATATATATATATATATATATATATATATATATATATATATATATATATATATATATTGATTTTTTTAATTTGTTTCTTTCTTAATTTTTTGCCATTTAATCACCTTTTTTAATGAAAGAGGAAATATGAGTGTGGAAAATTCTAATTTAATATAGTCATTACTCATGAAAAATAGATTTATTCTCGTGTATAGTGGTGTAGCATAAATTCTTTGTTACAGTAAACAGTTAAAAGCATGTTTCTTGATTTCAATACTGATTGATATTTTTTAGGAAGTTGACCTAATACGAGAGCAATTTCAGAGTATCGTCTCACTTACTATGTGGGCCAGCATCCTGCCTGTAAGTAACTATCAGCAATTTTTTTTTGTGTATGAAACTTTAACAAACCTCATTTTAGTTTTGGTTATTTAGCTGAAAAAGAACTTCAATCATTTCTATTAAAGGCCTTTTATCTGTTTGTGATATTTTGCTAACAATTGTCACATACTATAAATAATAATTGTTTTTGTTATGCTGTTTACACAGAGTGAAAATACTGAATGAGCTTGAGCTTATTTCTGTGTTTTTTAATGTATTCTTTAAGATATGGGTTTTTGGTCTTTGTGTAAGCGGTCTATCCTACTTGTACATATGGGTGTATATGATCAAATAAGAGCAAAAAAATGTCATCACTCTCATAGGGACGCAGAGATGAGATTTTCAAAAAGTTTCCAAAGATGAAGAAATTTTGGAAAGTCATACAAAAAAAAGATGCTAAACTAGATGCAGCTGCTCTAGAAAAGGCTACAAATGAAAGATGTTTCCTGTCCCGTCTGATACACAAGTTCTACACAATCTTAGAATCTATACCGGAAACAGGTAAGTTCTTTATAGTAGCTAAAAACCTTAATTTATTATTATTATTATTATTATTATTATTAATTAGCCATTATACTGAGATGTCTGAGATGAAAATTTCAATTATTGTGGAAAATTTTTCAGGTGACTTGTCAAGGGACAAAGTGATGTACTGTGAGAGGTTTCTGGAGTTACTTATTGGTTTGGAATCTCTGCTGCCAACTCGCAGGTTTTTCAATGTGCTCCTTGATGACCATCACTTTATTGTAAGGTGTACACTCGCAAAGCTTGGAAAGAGGGAGGAAGGAAAATTATTTTCTCAAGTGAGTGATGAGTACTTGCTTTCTTCAGTGTAAGTCATTTGATTTATTATAAGTCTTTTGATGTAACTGCAATTTTGTCATCTCTTTTTGATCCTAACTTCAGCTCAGTTACAACTTGTTTTAAGAAGGAAGGTCAGTTTTACATTTACTATTAAATGTAAACAAGAACATTTTCCTCGTCAGGAGACCATGTGGTGCACTACTGGTCTTTTAGACAGATACATTCACTCAGCAGTCTTTACAATTATATTAATTACAATCTTTAAAATAGCAATTTAAATTGTCAATAGTGCTATAGTTTGGAAGAATTTGACAGTGTATAAAAAGTCATAGATTTTAATAATGTGAAAGTATTTAGAGCTCAGAATTGCATGTTGCTTATTGAGACACATGAGATTATTTTCCAGTTGCTGGACATGTTGAAATTCTACACAGACTTTCAAATAAATGATTACACAGGGGAAGCTCTGACAGATTTAGAGATGACAAACAATCATTACAACAAGTTCCTTGATCTGCAGGTATATAATTTATTATTTTTTGTTGAGAAATTAGGCAAAATTGCAGATAGTTTTGATTTTCATACAGAAATTCCACTTTTCTGTCAGAGATTATCGTGATAATCATTTGTATTTATCTTAAAGGAAATTTTTCGCTTGCATGATAATTGNACCTTTGACCTACCTTACAATGAACTTAACTTTGATTGCACCATTTTTAGTTATATATATTTTTTGCATATTTTGAAAATTCTTGTTGATTGCATTTTTACAGCTTGTCAAGCACAAGACTGGTGGCTGCACCCCTTATTTTGTGTATGTGGGGGTCTATACGAATGCGCTTGCTCCAGCTGGTGGTACAATATTCGGAGGCGGTATCGCCTCTCTGATCCTCTAGTTTTTCCTCATTTTAGAAAACAAGACAGATTTTTAGATACATTTTGAATTCAAGTGAAAAATAAAGTTGTAGATAGTATAGAATTGTAAATTGTTTTCGACGTTAAACAAAGTAGAAAAATTAAAAATATAATTAAAATAGTCGAGTGAAAGGTCATTTTCAGTATCTACTATATTTTATTATGTGAAAAGTTAATACCTGTTTGGTGTATACTGGTATTTGATCATTGTTTGTTAGTCTGGCCTATTGGAAGAGTTATGAGTAATATAGAAATATTTATTTGCAGAGAGCAGCATTTAAGTATTACCCAGAGGATCTGAGGAAATTTGCTGTAAGCAATGTTGGAAGTGTAGATACAAGGGAAACTCTGCTGAAGCACTTTGGGGAACTTAGGTAAAATAACCTGAGTGGGAAATTATGCCCTAACTTATTTAAATGTCTAATTTTCTTTTCGGAGCGTTAAAATGCCTCATGTTTGTAAATAACTTTTTAGATTATTTGATATTCTTTTGAGTTATTAGTTATCCATCTATAATATTTGTGTATGCTATTTTATTTGATTATCAAAATTGTGTGTTCCTTAAGGACATTCAACTAATTCAAACATTGTTTTGATGTATTTTGTGACTTTACCACCTGTGTAATGTCTACTGTGTGTAATGGCACTTGCTATTTAATATCTGTTTGGTTTACAGCAATCTTGATCTCCAGATGATTGCTTCATATCTCAATTTAGTCGAACCTCCAGAAGAGAACAAAGGAAATGCATATAACTCTGAGTTTCTCTTAGAAATCTTGGTAAGTAAGAAATAGAACTTTTGAACTGATTAAAAATATTATTTTAGAAGAATGCCCACAATCTGCTTCAGAGGCTGCCAAACTTTGACAATGAAGTTGCTTAGATCGCATTCACAACAAGTTGAGCCAGGCTTTACAAATCCTGGAACTAAATATGGCGGACGTTCATGAAAGAAAAACCGCCTTATCTTTTAATAGTCTCTCTGCCTTTCCCACGCCTCCCCACACGTCATCCCTGGCGGGTACAGTCATTAAATCTCGGCCCCATTCGCCATGCGGAAGCTACCTGAGAAATATTAAGTGCGCATGCTCATTGGTCTTGGATCAGCTGGGTAGGCCTATCTCCGTGAATATCTCTGGTGACATTATCTCCGTAGATAGCCGATTCATTGCTGCTCTACTGGCCAGTTCATATCTTTTTCGTCTCTGTTTTGAAAGATAATAGAACATCAGTGATTGGGAAGGAACGCGCCATATGCGCATAGAATCGTAACTGGGCGCATAAAAAGTCCTGTTTGTGCGCCATAAGGGCGCGTGATTTTGTTATACCTCGCGTTTTTAAAAAGAGTCTCCTCGTCAATAAACTATTCGTCAACTGATTAGCGTAATTTTCCTCTCATACCTGAAGACGTCTCAGGAACGAATTCGGAAGCTATCGAACGCAATTGCCGAAGTTTGCCGAGAGCAATGAGCATGCGCACTTAATATTTCTCAGGTAGCTTCCGCATGGCGAATGGGGCCGAGATTTAATGACTGTACCTTCACCTCGAGTTTAATTGATTACTTCATTAAGTAATGAAATCTCTTTTCAGTAAGACTGATTAATAAGTGCTAGACAGTATGTGAAGACAATTTCATTTACATTTTCTCAGTTTTGAGTAATCAAGGTTTTCAGAGATCTAGATTGTTTACCTCTTGTTGATGGTTTCATCAAATAAAAACCAATTACTAATGAGTATTACATGTTTTCTGATCATTTTGTTTTTTCATTTAGTCTTCAAATAAGTTCAGTAAAGAAGGCATTGTAATGGTTTTATTGAAAAAGACAAATAAAAGTCTTAACTAAATAAATATATTATCAAAGTTTAACTGCAAAACCTTATCATATTATTCCCAAAAATATTGATACAGATATTTCAAATATATTTGTCATGTTTAAAATATGAAAGTATATAAATGTCAAGCGATGGCCCATTGATATGCAAAATGGCCCATTAAGGGTGACCCAGGAGGGGCCATTGACCCATGGGTGGTTTGAACCTTCCCAATCACTGGAACATAAGAGATTTTTTCCTTCGATCGCCCCCAGCCGCCATGCTTTCTTCACCTCGAGTTTAATTGATGAGCAAACACACTTAATATTTCTCAGGTAGTTTCTGCATGGCGAACGGAGCCGAGATTTAATGACTGTACCCCGCAGGGACGACGTGTGGGGAGGTGTGTGAGAGGCGGAGAGACTATTAAAAGATTAGGCGGTTTTTCTTTCATGTACGTCCGCCAGGATTTGTAAAGCCTGGCTCAACTCGTTGTGAATGGGATCTTAGCCTACACACCTAATTATTCCTGAAAATTTAAAAGCCTAGTAAACATAAACAGTCAAGGCACTGAATTAATGAAAAAATCTATCGATAATTATTCTGTCAGTTAAAGCATTTCCTATTTTAACAAGTTTTTTAAAATTTAATTAGGTGTCAAGAAATATGAGAAGACAGTCTCAACTAGAGGCATTGAATGACATGCCTTTGTATCCCACAGAAGAAGTTATATGGGATGAAAATGTTGTCCCCACTGCATATTTTTCTGGAGAAGGTGAGGATTGAAATTTTGTACAGTTTCAGTAAAATGCCATAATATTAAAAACTCACTTATGATTTCATTTGTTGAATCTCAACGATTTTGGTCACCCTCCAGTGTAATCTTAATTTGATGTATTTTGTTTTACAGGTTGTTTAGCCCTCCCCAAACTAAACCTACAATTTCTCACCTTACATGACTACTTGTTGAGAAATTTCCACCTTTTCCGACTGGAATCTACATGTAAGTGGCAATTCTTTCAAATTGGATAATTATTTATTATCAATTAAGATAGATGGTATAAGTGTGTATGTTTCATCATTTAAATTTGGTTCATTTCTCAAAATGACTGATGTTTTTTTCAGATGAGATACGTCAGGATGTGGAAGAGTCTGTGAGCAAGATGCAGCCCTGGAAGGCAGAAGATGGCACTACTTTATTCAATGGCTGGGCTAGAATGGCTCAGCCCATTGTCTCCTTCAGTGTGGTAGAGGTAAGAATTTAATGCCGTATTGATTGTCTTTGCAATATTGGTTGTTTCATTAATTAAATAATGCAAATGATTTCGAGCCCTTGCTTTCACAACTGAAAAACGTACAAGGTACTGTTTTCTTATTATAGTTATTGACCATTTGTGAATCTATAACTTATGACTGTATTATTTGGTAACAGGTTGCTAAGCCCAATCTGGGAGAGAACCACCCGGCCAGGGTTAGGGCAGACATCACTCTGCATCTGAGTGTCAGACCAGAAATCAAAAATGAATGGGAAAGTAAGGAAATCTCAGTCTCTGCCTCTGTTCTGTCCATTATGTCCAGTCTATTAATTGATTTTCCTATTACTTTTTTCTTAAGAACCTGCTGTTTTTGGAAACAACAAGACTGATTTTCCCCTAAATATTGCTCAGTAAGTTTCATTGGATGTGGTAACACACCGTTTTTAAAATAAGCTCTAGTCTAATGCATTAATTCTAATTGCAGATCTGCGAAAACATGATGTGGCATTCCTGGTGACAGTACGTCCTCAGCATGGCTATGGGAAGAGATACAACCACAAAGAGCCCTTTATACCACAAGTTGGACTAACCTATGTCAGGGGATGTGAAATTGAGGGCTTGCTGGATGCAGATGGAAAAGTAATTGAGGAGGGTAAGTAGAGTATATGTTGAAACTGCTGCTGTGTAATGTGATTACAAAAGTGGATGGTAGTGTATAGGTGCACATTACATTAAGTAATGAGTGATTTGGCCTGAATGAAGATGAGAACGTTTTAATTTGAAATTTTTATCAGCAGTTTTATTTGACCAGACTGTGTGTGTGTGTGCGTGCGTGTGTGCCTGCGTGCGTGTGTGTGTTTTGCTTAAGCAATATAGCTTGGTTGTATTATGATGTTTCTCTGTGTAACTCCATTTCAACTATACCTGCGTTTGCCATTGTTTATATTGCAGTGTTATTGTGAAGTACAATCCCTTGTTATTTTAGGTCCAGAACCAAAGCCCGACTTGCCAGGAGACACCAGGACATACAGAGTGTGGCTGGACCCTAACCAGTACCAGACAGATATGGCAGAAACTGTGGAAGGCAAAGAGGTAAGGATATTACAGCAATTTCTCACTAAATATCTACATTTTAATTATATCAGTTATATTTCCCAAAATGTAAAGTTTTGAATGTAATTACTTAAGACTTCAATTTCAAAATTCTGAATAGTGATATAGATTTATGTTATAAATGATTTTTAGAAGAAATGTGTTACTTGAATAGGAAAAAAATTATTTGGAATGATGGTTGTTTAAAATTGGTGAGTAAGTAACATATTTCTTGAGGCAGTGTCTAAAGTACTGTTGCAAACAACATCCCTATGCCAAACCACATTTATTTCCAAATCACTTCTTTCATTAAGACATGGGCAACATACAGATTGATAAACATTAGTGGCTGAGACAGAGTTGTATATGCATATACCAGTGGAATTATATGAATCACATGTACATATATATATTTCTTTCCTTTATTTCACAGGATGTTTATGAGACCTTTAACATCATGATGAGGAGGAGACCAAAGGAGAATAATTTCAAAGCTGTTCTGGAAACTATAAGAGACCTGATGAATACCCAGTGTGTGGTACCTGACTGGCTACATGACATTATTCTTGGCTATGGGGACCCTGGTGCAGCACATTACTCAAAGTGAGGGAATATTGAATAAAATATATTTACTTATCTACACATGCATATACACATATTGCCTGTTTACATGGATAGTGATTGCACAGTTTGTATGTCAGTATGTGTGCATTTGTGTATGTGAATGTTTATCAGGATTTCAATAAACTTAGTTTCTGTTCAGTTCTGTCAATTGTTTTGCTACAGTTTTTAACTCCTCATCTAGAATTTACAGCATACTTAGTAATCTATGCTTAAATGTGCCTTGTGATAAAGTATGATTTATTTTCTTCATATTTCATAACATCTTGTTTGAGCAACAAACAGTTTTAAGGTATTGCAAAAATATTTTGTTGATTGCGTACCCCCTTTTCAAAATTTATTTTATTTTTTAGTGTGAAGCAAAAGACAAATGGATATTGGTTTGCATAACAAAAATACTCTGATCTCCATAGTACATAATCCTTTTTCAGGATGCCAAATTTTATCAGCAGTTTGGACTGGAATGATACTTTTCTGAACTATGACCACTTGGTGTCATGTTTCCCTGGCTGGACTTTAAAGCCTAAGGTGACAGATCCAGCCAAACTTGTGCCTCCTTTCAGGTATTATTATTTTATATGTAATTTGATTGTTATTGGCACAGAAACATATATAAATATGTACAGTAACAGTGTTACATTGCTTGACTCATTTGTACATGGTTTAAGTATTGAGTGTTTAATCTACATCAAGCTGAGTTGACATGTCCGTAAATGTGTATTTTAGACTAACCTTCCCATCTAACTCTGGAAAGAAGAAAGCAGACGAAGAGGAGGAGGTTCCAGAGAATACAATACTGGTTGAACCCCATGTTATTCCCAACAGAGGTCCTTACCCTTATAGTCAGCCTAAGAGGTAAATGTTCTCAAACAAGAGAAGTGTACACTTTGCATATAATTTTAAGTTGAGTGTTTTATAGATTTATTAATTACATAATTTTTTTCATATTTTCTATGTATACTTAATTGTGTTTTTACACTGAAATTAGCCATATATTTTTATTAGCACGTACATAAGCATGAATGCTAAAAAGAACTCAGTGTAATATTGTGTTGCATTTACACTTTTCTAATGTCTGCTGGACCAAAAGGAGGATAGTTTGTTTTTGTCAGGAATCATTTATTCAAGTACCCACATTATAGCCATAAGGTTATGGAGGATATAGGTATAGAGTATATGTGTAAAAACTGGCTGATATAAGTATTGCTTATTGTTTTTGACAGAAATGCCATCCAGTTTACTCCCACACAGGTGGAGGCTATCAAAGCTGGGATGCAGCCTGGACTGACCATGGTAAGTAACAATTATGTGTTACTGGAGATTAATTCAGTTAGTCAAATTTTGTCTCATATTGAGTTGATTTAGTTTATATTATTTAATATTATATCTTTATCATAGATTTAATTCTAAAATGGTATATAATAATCACATTTGAAAACATTATATAGAATATGTTTTATTTTTGTTTTAAAAAATGTTTAAACTTTCCTGAATTTTAGGTCGTGGGTCCTCCAGGTACAGGAAAGACGGATGTTGCTGTGCAGATAATTTCCAATCTGTATCATAACTTCCCTAATCAAAGAACTCTCATTGTCACACATTCCAATCAGGTAATGATAATATTTTAAATATCACAAAATAAAGGTTCTTTTGATGAAGTTTTAACTGATAAATGGTGTGTGAAAACTTGATACATAAAGATTCCACTATATAGATTCATACATTCTTTTTGAACGCTACCTGAAAGTCACTTGCTTACTCACACAATGAAATGATATCACACACTTTGTCCTAGACTGCAGAATACATCTTTTGATTATAGTTTTTGATCATTTAACAGCATAATTTTAAACACTGCTGTATTATTAACCATGCCCCAGAAATAGCCATTCTAGGCACTGGCTGATAGCTATTTCTGGTGTAAATCTTATTCTAATGATGTAATATAAATCTGAGGTAGCGCTAGCAATTTTTTTTTACGCTTAGTCAAATAACCACACTTTTGTCAATTTGTTATCCAAATGACTTTAATTTTACTAAAATTAGTCAAATCAAGCCCTTTTTGTTTAGCCAATTTGTCAGTTTTAGCATATGGCTAAATTGGCGAGTGTTAGCGCTACCCCAGTAAATGATATAATGATGTAATGTAAATGTTATAATGATGTAATATAAATGATATAATTATTACCTGCTTACTGGCATTGAACCAGTCTTTAAAAGTATATGGCAGTATTTTTTAATGTTCACTGCATGAAATTATTTCTTTGTTCCCAGGCATTGAACCAGCTGTTTGAAAAGATTATGGCATTGGATGTAGATGAACGCCATCTGCTGCGTATGGGACATGGTGAAGAGGCACTGGAGACAGAGAAAGATTTCAGCAGGTAACTTGTTATTGAAATATTGATGACAAATCACCACTTCATTTCATTTGCCTGTGCACAAAATTTACAGCAGATTTTGACAACTCTTGGTGAGAAGATTCTTGATAAAACCAGTGCTATAATTTGCCTAAAAAAGAAAACTTGGTTTTGGTTTTTATTTAGTGTCTGCTATCAGAAAATCATAGAATACTTTATGGGACTGACAGATAAGCAAGTTTATGTAGACATAGTTGTCTCTATTGTACTTGTTGTTCAAATATGTAATGTAGATATAATCTGTATTGTATTTATGTACTACTTGCCCAGATATGGAAGAGTGAATTATGTGCTCGCCCAGCGTTTGGAGCTACTGGAAGAGGTTGGAAGACTCCAAGAAAGCTTAGGAGTACCAGGAGATGTAGCCTACACTTGTGAGACTGCCAGTTACTTTTACTTATACCAGGTATACATGAAACTAACTCAAATGGGATACTGTATACATTATAGAGGCCAGTCAGAAATGGTGGATGAACTGTCATTGTACAGCATGAACAAGGCTGGAAATTGAGATAAAATCATTTCAAATCATTCCAATATGAAGAAGAACATCATATTATTAAAAAGCATTCTACAAATATGTAGCTTATCCAGCATTATTAATGTGATGCTGCAAAGGATAATCATTACTGAAAATATTTTGATTCGATTTATAAATAATCTGCCTTCATGTTTTTGTCATATTGTTTCTGAACATTATTGCTCATCCTGTAGGATATTATATGCTTATCAAAATGGTTCTTTGTATCACCAGGTTTTGGCCAGATGGGAAGAATTTTTGAGCAAGGTAAAAGTGAAACCAGGCCAGGTAAGGACTACTGCCTGATAGTGATATTTCATGGATTAAGATAGTTGTGAAAAATATGGAGAAGTTTTGAGGTTACATGCTGTATTCACAATAAAGTTGATTTACTGTTTACATGCATGATTGTCATTCATAGATTTATATCTAACTCTCAGTATTTTTCATTCGTACTTTGAACATTAATCAAAGTGCAAATGTCAATAAAATGACATTTTCAACCTACATCTATTTGATTCTGTTGTTTTGTGTATGATAACAAATTTTGACAGCAAACTAGCCTCGGCGACTCCTCTCAATTCATGCACTCATAAAAGTTTATTTCAAAATCTCTTTTGTTGCATTCACATGTAGCATTTTAAGTTGTCAGAAGCAGCATAAAAGCTTTCAGCCATGGGCTAAATGAAATAGAAAAATAGGTTCAACATGTGAGAGCATTGTTTTTATTTCTAACAATAGGCAGAAGCAGTAGAGAAGATAGCTGAGCTGTTTCCCTTCACCAAATTCTTTGAGAATGCTCCACAGCCTGTGTTCAAGGGGCAGTCCTATGCAGAAGACTTGGATATTGCAGAGGGTTGCTTTAGGCATGTCAAGAGGATATTTACACAGTTAGAGGTATGCAGCAGTAAAGATGCATTGGTTTGCTGCTTTAAGGGATGGCCTTGAAGGAAAAAATTCTGTTAAAACATATTTTGAATGAGGTGCTGAAAGATTTGTGTTAGGCTTTAAATCAGATATACTCTCTGGTTATTGTCTTTCTGACTTCTAACATTAACAGAGAATTTGTCAGAAGTTGAGAAATTTGTTTTGCATTTCATAGATTAAAGTAAAGTATCAACAGTAAAACCTTTATATTCAATCTCTCCTATTTTAGGAATTCCGTGCATTTGAACTTCTCAGGAGTGGCTCAGATAGGTCCAAGTACCTACTGGTTAAGGAGGCCAAGATCATAGCTATGACTTGTACGCATGCAGCACTCAAGAGGAGAGATTTGGTGGATCTTGGGTTTGAGGTATGTAATATATGGAGGCTGAACTGATAATGTCACCAAAATTAAGACAGGATTGTTTAAAAAAAAGGAAAGACAGCATTTAAGAAAAACATCTTCAATGCATATGTGAAACTTAACAGACTCGATTTTAAGAATTCCTTTCCTATGTTTCTTTATCCGTATTTTCAGTATGACAACATCCTGATGGAGGAAAGTGCACAAATTCTTGAAATTGAGACATTTATTCCATTATTGCTACAGGTATGTAATAGACTTATACAGTTTCCATAAGGTGACTCCATATTTTTAAAAGTGTGGATGGGAGTATAATTGATTGAAATACACAATTTTTGTGAATATTTACAGTAAAAGCAGTATATAACCGAAGAATGATGTTATGTATTTAATTTGAAATAATGTGTATAAATCTAATATACACAACTTTCTTTTCAGAATCCTCGTGACAACTTGAACCGTCTAAAGCGCTGGATAATGATAGGTGATCACCATCAGCTGCCTCCAGTTATCAAGAACATGGCATTCCAAAAATACTCAAACATGGAGCAGTCGCTGTTCACCAGATTTGTGCGTCTTGGTGTGCCCACTGTTGACTTGGATGCACAAGGGAGAGCAAGACCTAGGTATTATAATGTTGTTATTACACATTCATGATAGCTCTCTTAAAAGTTTGACAACATCAAACTATGATTTAATGTTGATTGTGACATGGAGAAGGTAAATGCAGGCTGCATGTGTTCTTTTGGTGGTAAAGAAATAAAAGGAATACACTAAACCTTCCATCTGTGTATTTTATGCAAATATTTGAAACAAATTTTTAATGTTTCACACTGAAAAAAAATGCTATTTTATTGCAGCCTCTGTAACCTTTACAACTGGAGGTACAAAAAACTGGGCAACCTGTCTCATGTCAGCTTATGGCCAGAGTTTAGAACAGCAAATCCTGGATTTTTCTTTGATTTCCAGCTCATTGATGTTGGAGATTTCAATGGAGTTGGAGAGTCTGAACCAACGCCATATTTCTATCAGGTTAGTTCCAATATGGAAGTGAGGCTATGCTCTAGTTTATGGAAAGTAAAGATTGTTAAAAAGATGTACCATCCAAAGGAAATGAAATATGTCCAAGAAAAAATGGACAAATGTTAAACAAGTTAAGTTGTTATTTAAGTCCAAAATGCACCACACTTATTTTTATGTAGTATAGTAATAGAAGACATAAATCATTGCAATTATTTTCTCATTTTCCTCTTCAGAATTTGGCTGAGGCTGAATATGTTGTGGCTGTGTTCATGTACATGCGTCTACTAGGCTATCCAGCACAGAAGATCTCAATTTTAACCACATACAATGGACAGAAGAACCTGATCAGAGACGTCATAGCTCAGAGATGTGGTAACAACCCACTTATTGGGAGACCTTTCAAGGTAGAAACATTTTATTGGCAATGACATTCAACTAGTGTAATTCAGGATCATTACTCTGGGCTCTCTTATGTATACTAAATTGAAAATCAACAGTCAAATTTTGATAGTGTTAAATGGAATGACATTCAAACCACTCTTTGACAACAAAAACACTAAATAGACGCAGCTATTTTATCATTCAGGTCAGTAAAATAGAAGTTTTTTTTTAATCTCCCCAGGTGACCACAGTGGACAGATATCAGGGTCAGCAGAATGACTACATCTTGTTGTCACTGGTTAGGACTAATGCTGTAGGATATTTCAGGTTTGTCTGTGATTTAGTACTACAGTAATTATTGAAAGCATAATCTTTATGGCCTTTGGTTCTAAAATTAGATTAATCTTATTTTTCATCATGTAACCTTGGAGCTAACTTTCCATAAGCACACCCAAGCCCACATTTTCACACCAATTGAGGTTGTGTATGTCTTTTACTAGCACCAGTTTCTCTAACATTACTGCTGTTGTCTTACAGAGATGTCAGGCGACTGGTGGTAGCCATGTCCAGGGCCAGGCTAGGGCTTTACATCTTTGCTAGGACGTCCCTGTTTCAGAATTGCTTTGAGCTCACTCCAGCTTTTAATCAGGTGAGGGTGAATTTACAGTGTGTTAATTAAAGCTTGCTTTAGTGGAAAGTCAATTGGTATTTCCTATCTGTGGACAATAAAAATCAAATTACTCAAAAATTTGTCTGTGAATTTAAGGTTCTTCAGTTTTTTTGGCACAATTTTGTGACCAGTTTTATGAATTTTAATTCATAAAATAATTAGTAAAATAAGAAAAGTTGTCATATCACAATTTTTATAGGTGTCACCTTTTCAGTATGTGACAGAGTGGATTGTATGGTTTCAATCTTTTTTAGTTGACTGCAAGACCAGTGAAGCTGCATCTTGCACCACATGAAGTTTATCCACCTGCTAGACCAGTGAGTTGTTAATACGGAAATTAATTCTTAAAAGACACCTAAAATTGGTAATCTAACTAATATGCAAAAACATTAGTAAAGCAGCATTTATTTAATGACCAGTTTCTTTTCAAAAGTAAAAAGAACTTTTAGCTCATTTCTCCAATCTTTTTGTTTCATAGGTCAATGCTCCTCCACAAGAACCACCAGTTGTGTTAGATGACATGCCTCACATGGCCAACTTTGTTTATGAATTCTACCGTACTAAAGTGGAGGTGATCATGCAGCAAAGAGGGGTAAATATTTTTCTGGGTTCAGAAAATTGCAGAGGGGGTCCATTTTTGTCCTTTCTTTGATAACTTCTCTACATTATAAAGTTTTTTTTGTACATTCACCCCTTACAGCAATTTATTGATTTAGTCATTTTTATAATTAATCTTTTTTAAATTAAATTTTTTGTTTCTTTTGCTATTTGATATTATTTGTATTTTTTAATGCAGATGTACCAAAGACCCGCAGAGCTTAGAAGACCACCACCAAAGCAGCAGCAAAATTTGGCTCCTCCAGAAAGCCCATCACAAAAACCAGTGGAGCCAGTTAAAGAAGATAAAACTGTAATGGAAGAGCACCCAGGTGCAGGCAGTGATAGTGACAGTGAGGATGAAGGGTAATTTATCAAAGTTTGTCAGCAATTACTTGAAAACTAATCCTCTTGTAACTGGAAAAAAATTTAATTTCCAAGGTCAAAATAATTGTCTATGGCAAAACATTCTTTAGAACAGTTGAAAGCTTACTTACATTTTTAAGTTTTTTAAGTAAAAACAAAGTAATTTGCTGAAAATATTGCACATTGTGAAATTCTGTAAAATTCAAAGGGTTGAAAAATGCTAAGGGGGGTTGCACATATAAGGAAATTGATGTAAGAGAGCATTATTTTTACACCACAATGACTTACCCAAACATGCGTTCAGTGTGAATAAGTTTTTGCTCCAACAGTCTCCTATTTCTTACAACATCCAGAATTTGCCAGGTGTATTCATTTTTCTCTAAGCCTGACACTGTATATTTCCTATATTTCTTTTAAGCCTTTTGAGTGCAACATTTACATTGCAGCAATCAAGAAGAGACACCTGTTGGAGTAAAAAGAGAGATGGAGGAGCCAGTAACACCAGTTGAAGCTAAACGTGCAAAACAAGAGTGAATGGCCTGTTATTTCTTAACAAGCACCTGCTATTCCTGTAGCTGAAAGGAGGAGTCATATGAGAACGACAAAACCATTGCCTTTGTATAAATCACATCACAGAAAGTGATTGGAGTTTGAACTTTGACAATAAAATGTAGTCAATTGTACTATAGACTGGTGGGTTAACCATTTACATCAGTGACATGGTTTGCTTACTATCTCTTTGCTTTTATGATTTTGAACTGTTCTAACTTTACAATTATGAAGGAAAATTAGTTCTTTTAGTCTAAGAGTAATTTTTGTAAAGCAAAAAAAGAAAGAAAAGATTGACACTGTTGAAATCACTCAGCAATGAAAAATTATAAAAAGAAATTTTAGTCAATATTCAGTTGACATATTATTCACATGATGGCCTATAACAGAAATCTTTAAAAATACAGAATTATATTTACTGTAAATAAATATTAGAATTTGCAATGTAGTTATGATCTTTGACCAGTAAGGGTTTTAAAACATATTAACTAGCCTGAACTTAAACAGCAATTTCAACAATGTTTGTCTTGTTCCCACTGTCATCCATGCCTCCTTTTTCAAGTCACAACATTGATAAAGTTACAGTTGAGCATTTCAGTATTTCTGAGTTTGAAACAGCACAACTATATAATCCAGGGACGGGATCCTTTATTTTGGTTGATTTCTTCCTTCTTGTGGCTTTAAAAAGCTGCTGGGTTTTGCATGAAAGGATCAAGAATGGGGAAATTCTTGGGGAAGAGGAGGGTTTTCCTCCTTTTTTATTTTTTGTTCCACCCAAGAGAAACAAATCGAAGAGAATTGCTGACAACATACAACTAATATGGTTTGCAGACTTGCTTCAAATGAATGTTTGGATTAAAATAAGACCACAGTTTTAGTTTCAGTAAATAACTAAATATGAGTGGCTGATAACATAATTTAGGTGCTTTGATCTTCCACAAAGTCTTGCTTCCATAGAAATTCGGGTTTATAAGCCAGTTCAGAGTCACAACTGTCGGAACATGTGTAAACGGCCAGAGTTCCCCAATCCAAGCTACTGTCCACAGTGTCTGCTCCAAGGTGGTTCAGCAACTGGGGCAGGATCTAGAAAATGAAAGTTGACTAGCTTTCTCAAGTGAGTGTACATTTTTCTACAGACAGCCAAACTAGATGCAAGTCCACACATTAAAAAATTTGAATCAAAGGTACTTCATACACAGCATGATTTCTTAATAAACCAAAGGTATCATTGTAAGTCCTATCCTACCTGAAATTCGAACTGCCTTGGTTTTCCACAGCTGCAATTAGGGATATCACTGGGTTCTGGTACATTGTGAACTGACACCCAAAGAGGTGACCCTCCTCTATCATAGCGCAGCACCTGAAAAATTGAGACTTCCAGTAAACAGTGATGTGTAATTCAGCAAGTCTACATAAGACATTTTACAGGTAAGATATTGTCTTATTTATATGTTCAACTGTCTTCTATATCTTTCTGGACTTCCTTTACCCTATCAGCCATTACAATGATGCAAAACATTGTGTTTCTATAATAACACTTGACAAATCACAAACTGTTGGGGCTTAGCTAATCAAAATTAGGGAAGTGTTAATTTGTAAGGATGTGATGCCACATGAAGGACTTTGACTGGACATTGATCTAAGTGTAAGAAAAGTACAGTATTATTAAGATGATACATGTTATCTCACCCTACTTCCTGTTTACCAGAGCTAAGGTACATAATCAAACTAAGGTTACGCAGTTGAATACATTTTATATTCATGACCCGACTATCTCAATTTAACAATGGATTGAGTTTAAATGTGTTTGGTGTGCCACAGAGTCAAATGTAGTACCTGGTCTGGCTCCTGCTGAATTCTCATCTTGAACTTCATGAACTGTTTGTAATCTTCACTCTCCTGTCCTGCCATTTTTTCCAAATCCTTAGCAGCACTTTTGCTATCATAGTGAGACATTGCCTCTTGGTTGCTTTCCATATAATGTCTGTATTCCTCTAATTTTGCCTCTTCAGATTTTTCGTCCTCCTTGTCACTGTCTGAGAATTCTTCTGATTCTATGAGCAGTTCAAACTCTGGGAAACATACTTTAGAGGATGCAGTCTGTTTTTCTTTTTCTGGCATATCTGAGAAATAAAACTAACTTATAGATGTATCATATCAAGAAAATCATTCAGTCTGTAATCATTCTAAATTAAGCATTCTAAACTTCCAAACAATATTCTGAAGAATATATCTTTCAAGTTTTCTCTGAAGAATGTTAACGTACCTGACGGTCAGATTTCATTTACCACATTCTTTTTATTTAGCAATTGAACACATATTCAGTTTTGCAATGAATCTAGATCACGTCCGAACATGTAAGGTGGCTGAAAACAAGAAGATGTAATTACTATATATTTGACATGTTTTTTTCCCAACACTTCCATGATTTACCTTTTCCACAGTAGAGTTTGTGTCCATTCTTCCAGTCCACAACTTGGTGCTCCTTTGAACAGTATGCCTGACTGTGGCATCTGGCGCAGAATTTTGAGGCAGAGCAGTTACAAACCGAACACAACGTTTGGTATTTACTGGCACGTGGATAATCTGCTTTTTCGTCAAAATGGTCCTCATCTGGGGGTTCGTCACTGTAGAAACTGTTCATTTTAGGCAACTGAGATCTCATTACTATAAAGCCACTATTAGAATTGATTCTGCAGCAATCGGGATTACGACAAACAAAAACAAATAGCGTTCTGTGAAAACATGAATTCTTTGAAGAGTTCGGAGCGTACACTTGTAACAAAAATGTGCAAACATTTTTACAGTTTACACAAGAAATATCTTCTGGTTTTGGTATCGGATTAAGATTCAACCAAGCCGGCTTTCCGCCAACTTTACTAGGGAAGAAGTGGCTTAATAATTTCCAGTCACTGACCTTTTCTACAAAGCCTAATTCTGCTGGTCTTGCCATGGAAATGAGTTGGAAAGATCAAATCACTAATTTTTTACGGAAACAACGTGCGATGTGTGAAATGTGATAGCCACCGATACAGCACAAGCTTATCTTGGGATATTCTTCTACCTTCAGCACACGCAAGCTTCTTTCACGTAACTATAACAAGGTGTTATCATAAGAGCCGTTTTGATTTTTTACAGTTTAATTCTCAAAGATGACAGTAATTTAAAAAAAAAATAATCGACATGCAAGTTCTTTTCTTGGACTAAGTCTATTTTCAGGAGCAGATCCAGGATTTTTTGAAAGGGGGTCCGACCCTCCTCTAGGGGGTAATTAATTATCGTTTAGCAGCTTCAGTAGGCGTGCCAGACGTCTAAGGCGCTTAAACTGAAAGCAATTTAGCGAGAAACCTCTTGCAGATGGATTGATCCTGTTAGATCGATCTAGGTATGGAAACCCAGTCTTTAAGGTCTCTAGCAAAAGTATATCTTAAATGCCTTCTGTTTCACTTAGACTGGGTTCCCATGCCTAGATCGATCCATCTGGATCGATCTAACTCCCTGGGGAGTCTCACTAAATTGCTGTCAACTAACCAGCTTAAATGTCTGTCACGCCTACCGAATCAGCTAGGGGACAAAGATAATTACCCCCTTACAGCTTTAAGAATTACTAGGTGTGACAGACATTTTAAGCCGATCAAGTTGACAGCAATTTTGTGAGACTCCCCAGGGAGATAGATCGATCCAAATATCTATGGGATTGGTCCCTTACTATGTAAAAATAATTTTATCTGCTTCATCTTCTGTAAAGTGCATATGAAGAATACTGTAGTTTGTAAGGCCACATCGATGGCTGAATTGCCTTATAAGTTATATATGNCAGCGACGACGGCGACGACGGCGACGACAGACGCAGATGATGGCTATATGTACAGACACATCTGTGTCTGTACATAAAAATTGACTAGCTTTCTCAAGTGAGTGTACATTTTTCTACAGACAGCCAAACTAGATGCAAGTCCACACATTAAAAAATTTGAATCAAAGGTACTTCATACACAGCATGATTTCTTAGTAAACCAAAGGTATCATTATAAGTCCTATCCTACCTGAAATTCGAACTGCCTTGGTTTTCCACAGCTGCAATTAGGGATATCACTGGGTTCTGGTACATTGTGAACTGACACCCAAAGAGGTGACCCTCCTCTATCATAGCGCAGCACCTGAAAAATTGAGACTTCCAGTAAACAGTGATGTGTAATTCAGCAAGTCTACATAAGACATTTTACAGGTAAGATATTGTCTTAATTATATGTTCAACTGTCTTCTAAATCTTTCTGGACTTCCTTTACCCTATCAGCCATTACAATGATGCAAAACATTGTGTTTCTATAATAACACTTGACAAATCACAAACTGTTGGGGCTTAGTTAATCAAAATTAGGGAAGTGTTAATTTGTAAGGATGTGATGCCACATGAAGGACTTTGACTGGACATTGATGTAAGTGTAAGAAAAGTACAGTATTTTTAAGATGATACATGTTATCTCACCCTACTTCCTGTTTACCAGAGCTAAGGTACATAATCAAACTAAGGTTACGCAGCTGAATACATTTTATATTCATGACCCGACTATCTCAATTTAACAATGGATTGAGTTTAAATGTGTTTGGTGTGCCACAGAGTCAAATGTAGTACCTGGTCTGGCTCCTGCTGAATTCTCATCTTGAACTTAATGAACTGTTTGTAATCTTCATTCTCCTGTCCTGCCATTTTTTCCAAATCCTTAGCAGCACTTTTGCTATCATAATGAGACATTGCCTCTTGGTTGCTTTCCATATAATGTCTGTATTCCTCTAATTTTGCCTCTTCAGATTTTTCGTCCTCCTTGTCACTGTCTGAGAATTCTTCTGATTCTATGAGCAGTTCAAACTCTGGGAAACACACTTTAGAGGATGCAGTCTGTTTTTCTTTTTCTGGCATATCTGAGAAATAAAACTAACTTATAGATGTATCATATCAAGAAAATCATTAAGTCTGTAATCATTCTAAATTAAGCATTCTAAACTTCCAAACAATATTCTGAAGAATATATCTTTCAAGTTTTCTCTGAAGAATGTTAACGTACCTGACGGTCAGATTTCATTTACCACATTCTTTTTATTTAGCAAATGAACACAAATTCAGTTTTGCAATGAATCTAGATCACGTCCAAACATGTAAGGTGGCTGAAAACACGAAGATGTAATTACTATATATTTGACATGTTTTTTCCCAACACTTCCATGAATTACCTTTTCCACAGTAGAGTTTGTGTCCATTCTTCCAGTCCACAACTTGGTGCTCCTTTGAACAGTATGCCTGACTGTGGCATCTGGCGCAGAATTTTGAGGCAGAGCAGTTACAAACCGAACACAACGTTTGGTATTTACTGGCACGTGGATAATCTGCTTTTTCGTCAAAATGGTCCTCATCTGGGGGTTTGTCACTGTAGAAACTGTTCATTTTAGGCAACTGAGATCTCATTACTATAAAGCCACTATTAGAATTGATTCTGCAGCAATCGGGATTACGACAAACAAAAACAAACAGCGTTCTGTGAAAACATGAATTCTTTGAAGAGTTCGGAGCGTACACTTGTAACAAAAATGTGCAAACATTTTTACAGTTTACACAAGAAATATCTTCTGGTTTTGGTATCGGATTAAGATTTAACCAAGCCGGCTTTCCGCCAACTTTACTAGGGAAGAAGTGGCTTAATAATTTCCAGTCACTGACCTTTTCTACAAAGCCTAATTCTGCTGGTCTTGCCATGGAAATGAGTTGGAAAGATCAAATCACTAATTTTTTACGGAAACAACGTGCGATGTGTGAAATGTGATAGCCACCGATACAGCACAAGCTTATCTTGGGATATTCTTCTACCTTCAGAGCAAATTGCGCACGCAAGCTTCTTTCACGTAACTAACAATTTTAAAATTAAAAGGTGTTGTCATAAGAGCCGTTTTGATTTTTTACAATTTAATTCTCAAAGATGACAGTAATCTAAAAAAAATAATCGACATGCAAGTTCTTTTCTTGGACTAAGTCTATTTTCAGGAGCGGATCCAGGATTTTTTGAAAGGGGTNAGGGGGTCCGACCCTCCTCTAGGGGGTAATTAATTATCGTTTAGCAGCTTCAGTAGGCGTGCCAGTCGTCTAGGGCGCTTAAACTGAAAGCAATTTAGCGAGAAACCCCTTGCAGATGGATTGATCCTGTTAGATCGATCTAGGTATGGAAACCCAGTCTTTAAGGTCTCTAGCAAAAGTATATCTTAAATGCCTTCTGTTTCACTTAGACTGGGTTCCCATGCCTAGATCGATCCATCTGCAAGATTGCTGTCAACTAACCAGCTTAAATGTCTGTCACGCCTACCGAATCAGCTAGGGGACAAAGATAATTACCCCCTTACAGCTTTACTAGGTGTGACAGACATTTAAAGCCGGTCAAGTTGACAGCAATTTTGTGAGACTCCCCGGGGAGATAGATCGATCCAAATATCTGTGGGAATGGTCCCTTACTATATAAAAATAATTTTATCTGCTTCATCTTCTGTAAAGTGCATATGAAGAATACTGTAGTTTGTAAGTTTGACAGGCCACATCGATAGCTGAATTGCCTTACATGTCTTAATGAGGAGATTCCAGATCACTGCTAGGTAAATATATGAAGAGATAAGTCAGTCAGTAGTTGGTCTCAGGGAAAATTAACATTGCCTTAGTGTCATGTACCAAGTAAACAGGAAGTTGAGAGAAGAAACCCCTGCATACGTACCACCCTCTGATACAGCAAAAACTATCGGTTCAAGTAGTGAAAAATTGACAACACTGTATGCTTGTGCAGCAGAACTCATACTTTCCTGAATACAGCATAGATAAATATGATAACACCAACAAATGTTTAGTCTGTACAAGTCTTTATTGTTTTTTAATTTTTTTTTTCATTTTACCACAATAACACTTATGTACAGCATACAGCATGAATATGAATACAATTTCGCTTTCTCTCATTGCGAAGTAATAATTTAAGAAGCTGCAAGTACAAAATATTCATCATTCATCCAGGTTTCAATCAATTTACAATAAAAAAAAAAACAAATTCAGTTTCATTCCTAAACAATAGAGAAGACTGCTATATACCATAGCCAAATGTGAATATAAACAGCCGTGTCACTGTACTCGGGCCAATGAATATATCTGGTCAATATAGAATTATTATGGCTCTTACGTGGGTAAGATCACATCTGATAAATTATATATGGTAAGTATAAAGCAAGAGGGTATAAATAACCCTGAGTTAAATGGCACCATCATGTGTTCACTATGACTGGTCAGTGAGTATTCAAACAAATGTCTCAAAAATTGTTAACTTTTACAATAAGGTAAAACTGCAAACATCACAATTTTAACAGCCTCTAGGTTTCCCAGAACATCTGATTTTAATGCTAAAAAACTGAGCTAGTTACAATATCCTGTAACAAAACATTTCATAAAATATTCCCCAAATTTCCTAAACCAAATATCTTTATTTTAATAAGAAGTTAAAACTTGCTATTGAAAGAGATACATTTCCTAGACAGTTAAAAATTATTTCAAATGCTTTAAAGGCCAAGGCCTTTCTGGATTAATTTCATGAGTACTTTTGGACAGTAATATCTTTAAACCACAGCAGCATATACACCTATATGTACATAGCTGATGAAATAATAGTAATCATAAATACTTTATTATTAAAAATAGATTCATTCCAATTCTTTGATATAAATTTGATATAAACATGCATTTCTATGTCTTTACATAATTGAGGGTAAATTTTCACTATCACTGTAAAAAGTGTCACGCATGATAAGTATGGATAAATGATAAAATACCAGAAAGACCATTAACCATAATAAGTATTTGGGTCTAAAACAAACTAAATTTACAATTTCATAATTTGCAAAATATAATTCTTAAAGTCAAATGTAATTTCTTACCTTAAAAGGCTGCCGTGATGGCATATCCTCATGACACCTTTTCAGGAGATGATCTTAAGACATAATTAATATCTACTATCTTTTCTGTTCACTGTTGCAAAAATATGTTATGATAGTTAAAATATTTCAGCTGCCTATTTGAAATTAAAACTTTCTTTAAAATGAATATCTTTTTTATTTGCATGCAAGGTATGCAAAAGAAAATTGCTTAATAATATGCCCACTGTTCATGGTGAACATTTAGATAAAACATCTCGCAAAAGCAAAAGCTTAAATGGTACAACTGCATCAATATCTTAGAGTTATCTTACCAACATTTTTCTGACATGCCTTTCTTTGCACAAGAAGTAACCATATGAACAAAAGAACCATCTTTTCTAGTCCTTTGAATGCAAAACTTCTTTGTACAAAATGTCACCATATATACATCAATGCACTTCATGTCCCTCTACCTATGGGCAACAACTTTAGATCGACAAAGTGTCTCTGGTATATGTTTCAGTTCCTCCAAACAGATAGCAGCAGCTCTTTTAAGAGGGCTCATTTAACTGTGACAGCTCTTTCCAGGTTGAAACCATAGAGAGGGAGCAGCAATTTTCTGAATTACTATACAGATAGGGAGCAGCACTCTTCCATCTGACCTTTGAGGTTACAAATTCCTCAATCTATTTTTGGTACATACAAAGACCTTTCATGTTAACATTTATCTTGTCTTTATATAGGTGGTGGGCCTCTCACATAGCGTAACTGTGGGGCAAAGGTCAGGCGGAAGTTGTTAAAATATTCACAACAATCTGGCTCCAGCAACATGGCCAATCCAAATAACAAGATCAGCAATATTTGTAGAGGGATTGCTACCTTCAGTATGCGTCGGCAAAATGCTAGTCTCCCAATCCACCTACTCACAGGACGGACTTTGCTGCTGCAAGAAAAAGAAAATTGAAGTTACTTATATAAAAAAACATCAACCTAAATAATGTGATAAAAAAGACATTTACATTTGAGGAGAAAAAAATGGTAGGGTTAGCCAACATTTATGTAAGAGAGCAATGTGTATATATAGCAAATGTAGCAAATCATTTTTTTCCTCAGCAAATCTTGTGAAAATGTACCATAACTCCAACATAATGTCCTATTTACCTCTCTGCTGCCACCGTTGCACTGGCAACTGGTATACTTTCTCTGACAACCTCTTCAGTTTCCATAGGAACATCTGCAGCAACTGCAGATTCAATCTCAGAGTCGACTTCCATTTTTCTCTGCCTTAACCCAACATCATCAGAAGCCCCAACTGCTTCAAGGCCTTCCGCACCAACAACAAAGACCTCTGCTTCAGGAGAAATTTCCATGTTTTCTTCAATTCTGTCCACAGTGGTCTCACTGGCTTGTAAACTGGCAACCATTCTCTTGCAGTCATGCTTGAGTGCATCCAGCTGGTTGCTAAGAGTCCCCACACTGGCACGAATGTCTGTCTGTGTGTCAGTACTGCACAGCGGGAGAAGCTGTGAGGAGAGTTGACGTATTGATGCCATCTTGGCTTCATATCCATCCAACTCGATAAGCATGTTCTGGAAACAAAGTGTCTTAAATTAGTGATACAGGCATGATTAATTTAAGAAACATTTTTCAATGCAACATATGAGCAAAATATAAAAGGGAACAGACAAGTCAAACCAAGGTATTATTTTATCCAAACTTTACCCTAGCTCAAACTTTACCTGTAGTGTCAGATCAACAATTCTTATCCATGACTACAAAAATTGAGGAATCTCATTTTTTTTACATGACTATTTGAATACCTTGAGATCAATAGCAGCTTCTGCTTTCTCCTGTTCGTTCATCACAAGGATCTGCTGCCCTGCCTGCATGAGCTGAATATGCTGCCTTTGCTGACTCAGCAGATAGTCTAGTTCCTTACTTGTCTCTGAGTAGTCATACCAGGCAAGAAGAAGATTCTGAAGTTCAGCTGTTCTAGTAAGAGTTCTGAAAAATAGAATGAAATTAGTAAAGGCAAATCATGCACAAATTCATTGGATCAATTTTAAATGTTTAATTTGGCAATTCCCAAATAATGTAAGCATAACATCACAGATAAATATATCTTTAACTATTTACTAATTGATGCTAATTTTACTTATATAATTTGATTTGTTTTAAGTTTTCAGATAAAACTGGACAAAAGTGAATAAATACAGTTATACTAACCTTGTTTCTATGTCTTTAAATCTGCTACACATAGCAGTACATTCCTTTTTGAATCTTAGCATGTTAATATCAGTATTCTGTTCCGCAAACTCTGACACCCTCATGTCTACACTTGTAAGAGTTGACTTCTGTTCAGATATGCTCAGTTTGGCCTCCTAAATATATTATTAATCTAAATTATAGTTGATGATACGATGCTAAAATTCAATTTATAATATTGTTATTATACAGAGACAATTCCACTCATGTAAGTAACCAAAGCCTCAGAAAAAGATGTCTTAAAATCTTCAATGTCTTTAAATCATGATATCAGCTACATCCTGGCATAAACATTTTAAAAAAACTTTAATCGACATTTACTTAATCAACATTTATGTTCTTCCAAGTTCTTGGTCTACATCTATTTACCTGTAAGTACTTAATCCTTTCCTCTACAGCTTTTATGTCATCAAAGTTGCTCTGTTCAAGACCATTTTCTAGGTCTCTTAAGTACTTGTGGACCATCTGCATCTCATGATGAATGGCAGACAGCTGGCGTGACTTGGACTGTTTGTCCACGGCAAGATTATGCAGGTCCTTCCAACAGGTCATGATCTCTGAATAAGTAATAAATTTATTTCAGCATGCTCAGTCATACTGTAACAAAATGCTTCCTGTGAACGTCATTTTATCTCACGTAACAATTTTTAAAACATCAGTGACATTTTGACTTATCTTTTACTTTGTGTGCCATCATGCTAGACTTTTATGACAATAACCCAAACTACTGAAAATTGTTTCAAAGATGTAATGATAATGACTATGTATTTCAACACATCTGATACAAGTGCCATGATTTTTCTCATGCAATAACCAAAAATCATGTAACATTTAGTCATTAATGCATTTTACAAATAGTTCATAAAGAATAGCGCATTCTTTGACTGAATTTGACAATTAAATGTCATATTAAACATACCATGTACTCTGTTTACATCTTCTTCAGTTAGCCCAACGAGACTTTTTCCAGCATTCAAATGTTCTATAATCACCTGGAGACAGCGCAAGTTTGTTTCACAAGTTGCAACAAGCTCAGCCTGGAAAAAAATGTAGCACAACTTATGACTTCACACAAATACATGCTTGTTTTTGTAAAAGATTTGAAGATATTGACAAACCTTGCATTTAAGACATTTTGAGCACTGTCTTTAAAAACATTTGCACTGCTTGTTATATAATCCAAATCAACTATAAATTGTTGAAAAAAAAAAACAAAAAAAAAAGAAGACAGAAACAAAAATGTACATTTTTGAGTCAAACAAAATCATTTTCATGCAGGCAGCTTACATATTTTGAGGGATCCATACAGAGGCCAGTGTCCATGGCATCTCGCCTTTGTTTCTTTAGTGACGTTTCTGTCACCTGAATCTGTTTTGCTGACTCACTGATGACATGCTGAAAATCCTCCATGTCTGAGTCAGAATCGTCCACTCTAGAACTATCTCCAGAATATCCACTCAGAGATGGATAACCATTGCTCTAGAAAATGGTTAAATATATCTGTAAGCAATGGCTAATTTAGACAGAGGGGAGAAAATAAACTGTTTTAGATCTGTATAACAAAAGGTGTATAAAATACAAATCTTCATGTCAGTCTTGAAAGGCATTTCAATACTAATTAGCATAAAAAATGACTTCACACAAATACATAAAAGACATAAAAGAAAATGCCCAAAGTTTATACTGCAAAATGCAAGATGAAAATGCATTTATTGCAAACAAAATACAAAGGATAAATCTGAAAAGTTTAATAGAATCGTCAAAAAAAATAATTAAAAGTAGACACAGGCTATTATCCTGGGTATAGCAAGCTAATTAGGCTTTCTAAAAATGTAATTGCAAGCCCTGTACTTAAAGAATACTTTTCTTCAACCAAAATAACACATGCTATACTGTCAGATCATGCCAATGAAAGTAACAGTTTGGACCGAGACAAACAAAATGAAACATGCAAAAGCAAACATAAAACCACTTACAGCAGCAGAAGTAGCCATGCCATCAAGGGCACTATCAACAGTAGATTGCTTGGGCTGCATTGCAGACAAGAACTCTGCTGAGAACATGCCACTGTCTTTGATGTAGTCATCGTCAAACTCAAAATTGTCCTCATTTTCCCAAGTAAGGTGACTGTCATCCAGTTTCTCTTCATTGTCATCACTGGTCACTACTTGGTAAGGTGGGTCCTGCACATGCACAAAATGGTCAAGGTTGGTTAGAACATACTGAAGTGACCACTACACCATGGGCCAAGCAAGACAATAAATATCATACCTGTTTAATATAATTAACACAACAAAAGTATGCATGCAGCAAAAATTGATTAATCTAAAGATTTGTCCTATTAAAAGGAGTATCAATGTCTAATCATGATTGAATCACAGCAAAAAACTATCTGGAATATGAATTATTAAGTGTGAGCACAAAACATGGTCTACAGTGGCCTTCAAATCTATTATACAGTTCATAAATGGGTAATCTACAACAGATTGTGTCTCTAAAATAAAACTGAATAAATTTAATTTTGTTAAATGAACCCCATTTTAATGCTTTCAAATAAAAACAATGCAAGGAAATTGAAAATTAAATATTGCTTACACCACCAGCATGCTTGGTGCTATAACCTGCATATCTCAATATCACAATACATTCAGGCAAGCTATAATTCAGTCACTCAATGCAACATAGGTAGCATAATAATCATTTTGAATTTCAATATACAAGACAAGGTGGTGTAAAAGTTACACTAGGCAAAATAGCAAACCCAAAATGCTTCACTATTAGGAGTTATAAAACATACACTTAGGAAGCCAAAAGCCTCAATCTCTCCACTGGTGTCAAACTGGAACAAGGGAAGGGAAAACCAAGGTTAATATTATGGGATTTAAAAATAGCAATTTTATATATCTTCCACTGAAAAACATACTGCAGTCTATGGTCTTCATCTAAACTCAAGTTTATTACTACTTGAGATTTCTTTATTACCCACATAACCCAGCTTGCATAGCACACATATCAACCATTCTTTCTCGATAAAACACTCCACCCACCCCTTTCACACACCACTGTCCTGCTTCAAATATTCACTTAACATTACAAACATCTCTATCTCTCTCTCTCTCTCTCTCTCTCTCTCACTGATGTCACATTTTGTGTTAAACCCAGTATAAGCTGTACCTGATATGGATCCCAAGCATGCTCTGAGAAGGATTCCACAGTACTGTTAAGGAGTTCATCTGTGTCATCACTGTCCTTGTCACTGTCATCTCTTTTCTCAGTGTCAACCAGATCACCTAGATTTGACAATGACATGGATTAGGATATAACATACATTAAGTTACAAGACACATAAGATATGTACATGGAACTGGTCTTCAATAAAAAAAGTCAATTCAAAATGAAATGCATCCTTAACAGGAACATGGAAGATGTGTAGATATATGCCAAATACATTCTTAAGCCACAGCTAGACTACCTAAAAAATAGTCTTAGTTCCCTAAATGCCACCAAATTTATGTCTATTAACAAATCAGTAATACACATATAATTTTATCCAAAATGCTGCATGAGCACAAACACATTTTAATCCTATAATATAATCAAGTGAAGAACATTAAAATAGATTATGCTACCACAGCCATCTGAACACTCTATTTGTACCTTCACTTTTATCTGTCCCATAACTAACACTCTTGTCTGCATCATAACTTATACTAGTGTCCACCAAATCAGAGCCTTCGTCTGTGTTGTTAAAATCCAGACTAATCTTTAAATCAGATTTTTCAGTACTTGAATTCTCATAATTCACTGCATTCCTAAGACTCGACTTTGATACAGTTTCAGTAACCTTTTTTGTCTTAGTCTTATTTTCGTTTTCGACGTTGAAACTTTTCAGGATTTCTGATGATGATGATGATGATGTATTTTTTTGGTTCAAACTATATGTGGTCCCAACAACATAGTTTACTCTGCCTTCTCTGTCAATAGGATCAGAGACATATATTCCACTTGAATCCAAACCAGTATGGCGACTAACACTGGCATTAGTAAGTGATTTCCTCTCCACATACTGTGTACTGTATGTTGCACTAGAAATCTCTTCAGGGCTTCTTGATTTGTCTGAAACCACGCCTCTTGGTGATGTGGTAAGGTTAGTATTGTAACCCCTGGGAGATCTTGTGTCAGAATCATATCCCTTTAAAGACCTGTCTGAACCATAGCTTCTTGTAGAGCTTTCAGAGCTGTATCCTCTTGGAGTGAGAACACGTTCCCTTGGAGACTCATAGCCTGTTCCACTAATCAACCCAGAGCTTAATGGCGTCGTTGAACTTGATGCTCCAAAGTCTACAGGTGTGCTGGTATACCTTTGGTCTATACCATAGCCTGATCGAGGGCTTCTTTCAAAACTACTCCTTTTTTCCGAAGTTCCTAATGACCCTTGACCTGAAGAAGAGTAGCTTGAACTACCAGCTCCAGAACTTCCTATACCAAGGCTTGTTGTTGAACCAATTCCAGAGTAATTTGAAGTTGCTGAGCCTAATCCCGAGTATGATGATGTTGAAGATGATATTCCTATACCAGAGTAAGAGGAATAACTCATAGAATAAGAACTTGATGAATAACCAGCACTGCTTGAAGCTCTCCCAGTGTATTTTCTTGAGGAGGAGTATCCTCCATAAGTTCCAGACATTTTGCAGAAATTAAAGAGACCTATCACAACCCATCGATACTACAAAGTAGGTGTCACCAATCATCACTTTTGATCCTGAAGATGGTGACGCTATGGAAGTTATTAGAAGTAGGCTACTGCAGACCGACGCTACACTTCATACAATCTACAGTTGTTATTAGGGTAAATTCTATGGCTGTCCCACTTTATTCTCAATATTCAATACAATTCAATATCAGTGAATGGCCAGGTCTTTTGTGCAACTACAATTTGCTCTCTTTGCTTTCTTTAGCTTGTATACAAAGAAAAGTAAACATGGAGCAGACCTAGCTGGCAAAATATCAGGTTTTATTTCCTTAAGTTGTTCTCCACACAATCATCTTTTAGGGAACAAAACATATTAATAGACTTCCAAAAATGCTGGTCAGCACAGAAAAATATTGTTTATGAACACAAGAAACTAAAGTTAAGACCAAGAGCAAATATCATTACATCAAGTATTTGCACAAAAGCAACAGCATTCCTCAGGAAGCTCATCTACTGCAATAGGTGCTCACACACTCATCCAATATTGTACACCACTTCTTGTACATACTTGAAGACTATAGACCAAGTGTAAACATTAATTACAGATTCACAAACTGATCGATAATCTTCACAGTTTCCCTTGGAGAAATGCTTCAATTTCCAATCTACCACAGACTAGTTTATTGTCAGTTTATGTTTGGTGAAACATTATAAAGATACATCATAGCACATTTTCTACTATGAATCTCAAGCTTCCTATCCCAGGTCGCATTTTGCTATAAAAAATCAATATATTTTGAAAGGTAAATGTCCTACAAATATCTAAAAAGTGAAATACAAATATAGAATGTTAACATTTGCATTTAATAAATTGAAGGTACAAGGTTTTCCAACAGAAAAGTATTTTCCACTTACCCAAATCTGACTGGTTTCCTTCTCCAGAGACTGCAGACAACTGGCCAGTATGGAGGCTGTACTGACTTATTTCCTCCTGACTAGACCCAGCATGTTCTCTGGCATCCAGGGCACCCGCCACCATAGCATACAGAGTTTCATGCTCTGAGAGAGATTTATTATCTTCCCTAGGACTTTCACTGGAACCAACCTGTGGTTCCTGTGACAACTTTTCACTCTCTGACACACTTCGCTTCATTTTCATGTGTTTTGTATGGTGTTTACGTTTGGGATGTGGGGAAAGCTTGTGCAGTGTGGCACCCCTCCATGAACATAGTTCTGTACCAGAGGCAGTCACTTTGTTTAAAGAATCGGGTTGGCTTCCTCCTAAGGCATCAAGAGCACCTTCAGATATGGAAAATGGAGAAAAGTCTAATCGATTCGTTAGTTCATAGAGTTCCGTCACACTCCATGGGCGGCCGTTTTGTTTGTGGCGGTTGGCTTTTCGCCTCATTTTGACCCCATGTGGCACCTCTCTATTAGGGGAACTTGAAGCAGACAAACTGCTTCCTTGGGCTGTTACACTGTCAACATGTCCTTCATTCTGTGTCTCTACTGTGACAGTGGTCTCTTTGAAAATCACACTGCTGTAGAGATTTTCCTCATTGGACGATGAACTCTCAGAGTCACTGGTATATTCACTGCTTGCATCACAAGAACTTTCCACATAATTCCCCGCATTGTCATTGGCAGAGGAATCTGTGCTAGTGTCTTTCTTCTTTCTCCTTCTTCGTCTTTTGCCTGATGTTTCAGTCCACCTGTTCGTCTGAATGTTGAAATCCCCATCTCTGACAAAGGACTCTGCTTGTCGCACCAAGCGTTCTACAGACTCTCTGCTATTTGGTATATGTACTTGTTCTAAATCATAATTGGGAGCTCCATCCGGCTCATCATCTTGGGTGACTTCTTGATGATGATCAGAATCAGAATTAGCTTGCACTGCCAAGGATTCTGATTTTTCATCACTAGATCTTTTGCTGTGACTTTTGTAAGTATCTAGAGTATGGTTGTAATCCTCAAATGTGTCCAAGTTTTCTATAAATGAGTTGTTGTTCTGAGTGTCAACATGCTCTTCATCAGAAGTAAGAGAGCTGGAGGAATCTTCATCATCAAATCCAAAAGCACTGGCAGAGCTTGTACGAGAACGGGGTTTAGTATCTTCTTCCAAACGGTGTTCCAAGTCTTGTATCAAGAAGTCCAGCCTTGTACGCACTTTGGCATTGGATTGGGTATCAGATTCAGACCCAGATTTGTAGCCTTGGGTCATTTCCTCAGTATTACTGCCTCGGTTTTCAGCTGCAAATTCTTCTTCAACTGATGTCATTCTATAAAATCTCTTGCTTGGTGATGATAATGCCTCTTCATACTTCTCAGAATCCTCTCCATTTGGTTCTTGATCCTCCTGGATATGACTGCTATCATCCCCAAACACAGCCTGGTATGGGGATTCCTCAGCACTGGGCAGGGAGGACACATTGGTAAAAGTGGAATCATTAATCTCACTCACTGATGCCTCCAAGGTGTCATCCTTCTTGACAGAGATGGTTGTATGTTGTGTTTCCCTCACGAGAATCTTGGTTGTTTTTACCTCCTGTGTGGTCTCAGTGATGCTGTACTCAACTTCTTCATTAGACTGTCCACCACTAGAGTATCCAACATCATGGCTCTCTAGCTTACTGTCATCAGAAGAAGCAGTGGTCTCCTCAGTCGAATCCTTCCCATTTAGGGCACTGACCACCATTGTGTAGAGGTCATCATCCTTAGTGGGGGGACTGCTGCCCATCACCTCCAATTTGCTTTCTTCTTGACTGCTTTGTTGACCCTCCACAGACCCTTTAATCCCCTTGGTCGTCCGTTGTTTACCTTTCTCCATGCTTGCATGTTCCAAAGGCTCATTCGAAGAACTGCCTTGGATACTACTCAACACAACAGACTTCTTCTCATTGCTGTCTTGGACTTCTAGTAAATCATCAATGGCTGAACCAGGTTCTTTCTCTGTGTTCTTTTCGTCCTTCTCCGTCTGAACATCAACTTCGGATGTTATCTTTTCATACTCGTTTTCAGCAAAGGGGATGATGTCAGAGTTGTTAAAGTCATCAATGTCTGTGTCCGTGTAGTCACTTCTCTCACTATCTCCAATATCTGTAGGTGGTATGCTGAGCTGGGATGCACTGTGGAAGTTAAACCCACCAAAGGTAGATGCCTGAGAGACAGGTGTAATTAGGCCCTGAAAACAAAGAAAAAAAAACATCAGTATTTCATCAATAAAAAAACAATGATTAACTAGTCAAAGTTTGCAATTTTCACAAATCATAAAATCAGTATACTGAGACTGAATGACAAGTAGTAGAACAGCACACGAACCTTGGAAAATGAAAATCCCTCTATTTACTTATATACCACTGACCAAGCTAGAAATATGGTGGTCTAAGTGAAAGAGACTAGGTAAGAAAGAGATCACTTATCCTCTGAGGATAAGTTTAAACCCAAGTACAGACAAGATACCTGTATAGACAGCTGACAGTTCAATTAGATACTTATTAAAATTTCAATTTACTGAAGTATGTGTTCATGCCCTACAGATCTTCTAAGTATATGATATCTTAATCAGGGAGTCTTAATTATCATCTTCACATGAGCAAAAGATAAATAACCCATGCAAAATTTTTAAGTACTAAGCTTGATCAGATCATAAGACAATGGGTGAACAGTATTTCTTTAGAAATAAAACTAATCAATAAAATAAATTATCCATTTAAATGTGAAGTTCAATTTATGTTTAAATGTTGAGTAAATTTTAAAAAAAAAACATTCTCATATTATGTTGTCTTCTTCCTAAGATCACACAAAAATACCCTTGTATGAAGAAAAATACATGAAGTCTTCTGTAGATTCGCAGTATTTTGCCAGCAATAATCACTTTCAAGTCCCTTCATCATTATGTCTATAGAAAAGATAAATATCTATTTTGTACTGTATTGATTGGCACAAACATAATTCACTTTCCAGCATTTCATCTCCAAACTATAGGTTACAAACCTTATCCGATCCAATACAGCACTACAAAAAAGCAAAAAGGTGTGTTAACCTATTTCAAACAAAGCATCTGGAAATGACAGGAGCATTAAGAAAACAGCACTCTAAACTACGATTAGCTGAAATCGTTTCCATGTAGATAGTCAATTAAAAATAGTTTTGTAAAAAAAAAAAGGAGGAGATGTGGATAAATGCAGCAATCAGCAAATGTTTGCTTATCCTGATAATTCCAATTAACTCTCCCATTGTGTAACCACTTGGGCAGGAATTATTAATGGCTTGGTTCAGATGAAGCACTCCAAACTCAAGTTTTCTTTGAACAATGAAACCATGTGGAGAAGCAGATTCAATAATCTGTTCACATGACTTCAGACAAGACTCTAAAACCAAACCTTGATTATTTCAAAATGTCTGCTTCCCTATTTCTTAAGTACATGTATGAATAGCAAATATGTAAAAAGTACATTCTGACCCAAAGTTTTACTACAGACCATCAATCCCGACTTTGATTTGTTGCCAATCTTTCACCAGATGAATAATAAGATAATGCAATCCAGATTTAATAATATATTATCCCGAATTCCATAATGCATGCAAATGTTACNTGAAAAGCATAATTTTATTAAGGAGGTCTGCATAGTGGACTTGCCACCAGTTCCTAACTTGTGAGATTGCACCAATGCATGAAATTGTAAAGGGGTGCTGAAGAACCGACTAAAAAGATAAATGTATTATAAATTTCTACAATAAAAGAGTTCATTTTGATGTTAAGTACTATATAACTACTACAATGGTTCAGACACATAAGTGTAAAACATGTCAAGGTTCCTCTAATGTCCACTCTCAATGACTGCTTACCCCCACAAATTATCCAATTTCCAGACTCCATTGTTAGCAGACAGGAGAAAATGGTGAATTAAACAGAGCAGAACTTTTCAAAATCTAATAAATATCATAAATTATATATTTGTAGTTTGACTGGTGTTCTTAAAGCTGAACTGTACCAGGCTCTGTTCATAATAGCCTAATACTAAAATGCTATACATCAGGAAATAAGAATAAACATGTCTCAACCATGTTTCAAATATTCTACAACCAGAAAAAACTCTAATGAACACCAACTGGTCTTCCAAGAAAACGTCCTATATTCAAAAACAGAGATAAGCCACAGACAACTTATTTATCAATATTATCTGCTAATATTTATTTAATCATATGGCAAACATGACATCCCACCTCCAATTCCATCTCCTATCTCACATACACTTAGTAAGTTTTCAGTCATACGCAAAGTGAATATGGATATCTCTCACTAAATTTTAACAATGTGATTTATCAAATTGTACTGTGGTATATAATTTCTGAAAATTGGACTAGAAAACTTTAAATAAATTGATACAGTTTTGGAAATTTTGTGTGTAGCAAAATGGTTGAAATTCATAAATATTTATGGTAGAGATATTTTGCTACTACTCATATAATCCAAATAAGAGTTTTCAAGTGAAAGAATTGAGAAGCAAGTGAAGCAAATATACCTTCTTCCTACTGATAGCCTCCTCCAAGCGGCACTGCCACTCCAGTGACTGTAGCCAAATAGCATGCCAACGACGCTCTAGATTCAGGGCTGCAAACTGTAGAGTATCTTTGTCATCTTCATCGGAACATGCTCTCTTGTCTCCCTCTAAACGCTCACAAAGCTTTAGAACAGCCGAAACAATTTTTGAACGAGACTCAATGTCTCTTTGCAAGACCTGAAATAAAGATGTAATTCATCATAATTTTCAACATACAAGATGACAGGTGGTAACAGAGTTTACCACTCATTTACAAAATCATCAATTAACACCATTTCCTAGAAGCAATTATCCCACTTTGCTTTATCCTAAACTTTATAAAAAAGTTTCTGATTTACATTAAGTAAACCAAAGAGAGAGAGTCATTAATAATCTCGCTTCACATTAGGTAAACCACTAAAAGAAACACTGTCAGGTTCCCACTGGGTTATTACCCTTCTGTCTTAAACATTATAAGTGCATTATCTTCCCTTTCCACTCCAACTGTTAAATGCAAACCCTTCGAGACAAATGAGGAGGCAGATGGAAAGTACCATATGTCACCACAGTTACAGCTATCAAAATCTACAATCATCAAAGGCGTGGTAGCCTTAGCTAATTATAAATAACCTGTCATAAGTTTGAATTCTCCTCCTATAAAAATGTGTTGTACAAGAAGAATTTATGCATGACAGAAATATTAATATTTACTGACTAGTCACATGTAATACAGACACAACATGACAAACTTCTATGCAAGTTTTTATGGCTTTTATCTCGAGAGCAATTTCTTCAAGCATGTTATAGCATGTAGCACTGTTCAATGAGACAAACTGTAGTGCAGCACACAGTACATTTTTGTAAGTCTTTGTGTGACAGACAGTCACTGGTTAAGTATTTCCCTTCCCTTAAATCATTATTTATCCATATGTTTTTCTTTTTCCAAATCCAAAAATACTAATGGTAACATCTGTTAATATGAAAAAAAAACTTATGTAGTGAAAAACAAAACTGAAATCACCAGTTCCATGTCTTGAGTTAAAACTGCAATAGGCCCTGGTAAACTGAATATACACTTACTGATATCAATTTCACTAACCCTACGCATAAGTAGTTCTTATCAGTTTATATTTTATGATACCTTGCCCACAACTTCAAAAGTTTCCAGTAGATAAGAGCAACACTTTCAGTGCCCTTACTTGAAACATGAATTATTTATGTATTACGAGCAGTTCTTATGTTATGATAACAATTCTTATCAAAAAATTTTCCTTAGCCATCAAATAAATCTTTGCCAGTGTTACAGTGAATATGGCTTAAAGACTTCTACAGCTAATGCTCAGATAAATTTTCATTTATAAATTCCGTCAAACAAATCTCTCCATCACTGATAAGGCGAAAAAAATTCAATCCAGGTGGATCCAGGTATTTCCAATTTCCTGTAAGTAACATGGCTGACATAATAGGGCTACTTCACAGATTTACTGTCACATCATGCTATCATAATCTCCAGTTAATCAGGATTTGGTGACTTGGACACAGATGTGATATTTGCACTACAATAATAATGGGTATGCACAATAGGCATACAATGTTGTCCAGTCTACAATTGGATATGTTATATGTACAACAAAACAATTTCTCTTGATGGATTGTCTTTTACTTCCCCATTATTCCAATGGAGTGTTCCTCCAGTAACCCAAAAGAAAGTACAAGTAGAGTGTTTACATGCTATGAAATACAAAAGCAATGTATGACTGCAATCTCTCACCTCCATGAAAACCCTCTTCTAATCTTTCTGTGTGGAAAAGATGACATTGTTGAACCTGATAGAGATGCTCTGACAAAAAATCTAAATCAATAACCAGATGCACAAAGAACAATGAAGCCANTAAAAAGCATAATTTCATTAAGGAGGTCTGCATAGTGGACTTGCCACCAGTTCCTAACATGTGAGATTGCACCAATGCATGAAATTGTAAAGGGGTGCTGAAGAACCGACTAAAAAGATAAATGTATTATAAATTTCTACAATAAAAGAGTTCATTTTGATGTTAAGTACTATATAACTACTACAATGGTTCAGACACATAAGTGTAAAACATGTCAAGGTTCCTCTAATGTCCACTCTCAATGACTGCTTACCCCCACAAATTATCCAATTTCCAGACTCCATTGTTAGCAGACAGGAGAAAATGGTGAATTAAACAGAGCAGAACTTTTCAAAATCTAATAAATATCATAAATTATATATTTGTGGTTTGACTGGTGTTCTTTAAGCTGAACTGTACCAGGCTCTGTTCATAATAGCCTAATACTAAAATGCCATACATCAGGAAATAAGAATAAACATGTCTCAAATATGTTTCAAATATTTTACAACCAGAAAAAACTCTAATGAACACCAACTGGTCTTCCAAGAAAACGTCCTATATTCAAAAACAAAGATAAGCCACAGACAACTTATTTATCAATATTATCTGCTGATATTTATTTAATCATTTGGCAAACATGACATCCCACCTCCAATTCCATCTCCTATCTAACATACACTTAGTAAGTTTTCAGTCATACGCAAAGTGAATATGGATATCTCTCACTAAATTTTAACAATGTGACTTATCAAATTGTACTTTGGTATATAATTTCTGAAAATTGGACTAGAAAACTTTAAAACTACTCAAATAATCCAAATAAGAGTTTTCAAGTGAAAGAATTGAGAAACAAGTGAAGCAAATATACCTTCTTCCTACTGATAGCCTCCTCCAAGCGGCACTGCCACTCCAAAGACTGTAGCCAAATAGCATGCCAACGACGCTCTAGATTCAGGGCTGCAAACTGTAGAGTATCTTTGTCATCTTCATCAGAACATGCCCTCTTGTCTCCCTCTAAACGCTCACAAAGCTTCAGAACAGCCGAAACAATTTTTGAACGAGACTCAATGTCTCTTTGCAAGACCTGAAATAAAGATGTAATTCATCATAATTTTCAACATACAAGATGACAGGTGGTAACAGAGTTTACCACTCATTTACAAAATCATCAATTAACACCATTTCCTAGAAGCAATTATCCCACTTTGCTTTATCCTAGACTTTATAAAAAAGTTTCTGATTTACATTAAGTAAACCAAAGAGAGAGAGTCATTAATAATCTTGCTTCACATTAGGTAAACCACTAAAAGAAACACTGTCAAGTTCCCACTGGGTTATTACCCTTCTGTCTTAAACATTATAAGTGCATTATCTTCCCTTTCCACTCCAACTGTTAAATGCAAACCCTTCGAGAGAAATGAGGAGCCAGATGGAAAGTACCATATGTCACCACAGTTACAGCTATCAAAATCTACAATCATCAAAGGCGTGGTAGCCTTAGCTAATAATAAATAACCTGTCATAAGTTAAAATTCTCCTCCTATAAAAATGTGTTGTAAAAGAAGAATTTATGCATGACAGAAATATTAATATTTACTGACTAGTCACATGTAATACAGACACAACATGACAAACTTCTATGCAAGTTTTTATGGCTTTTATCTCAAGAGCAATTTCTTCAAGCATGTTATAGCATGTAGCACTGTTCAATGAGACAAACTGTAGTGCAGCACACAGTACATTTTTGTAAGTCTTCGTGTGACAGACAGTCACTGGTTAAGTATTTCCCTTCCCTTAAATCATTATTTATCCATTTCTTTTTCTTTTTCCAAATCCGAAAATACTAATGGTAACATCTGTTAATATTAAAAAAAAAAACTTATGTAGTGAAAAACATAAAACTGAAACCACCAGTTCCATGCCTTGAGCTCAAACTGCAATAGGCCCTGGTAAACTGAATATACACTTACTGATATCAATTTCACTAACCCTACGCATAAGTAGTTCTTATCAGTTTATATTTTATGATACCTTGCCCACAACTTCAAAAGTTTCCAGTAGATAAGAGCAACACTTTCAGTGCCCTTACTTGAAACATGAATTATTTATGTATTACGAGCAGTTCTTATGTTATGATAACAATTCTTATCAAACAACTTTCCTTAGCCATCAAATAAATCTTTGCCAGTGTTACAGTGAATATGGCTTAAAGACTTCTACAGCTAATGCTCAGATAAATTTTCATTTATAAATTCCATCAAACAAATCTCTCCATCACTGATAAGGCGAAAAAAAAAATTCAATCCAGGTGGATCCAGGTATTTCCAATTTCCTGTAAGTAACATGGCTGACATGGCTACTTCACAGATTTACTGTCACATCATGCTATCATAATCTCCAGTTAATCAGGATTTGGTGACTTGGACACAGATGTGATATTTGCACTACAATAATAATGGGTATGCACAATAGGCATACAATGTTGTCCAGTCTACAATTGGATATGTTATATGTACAACAAAATTTCTCTTGATGGATTGTCTTTTACTTCCCCATTATTCCAATGGAGTGTTCCTCCAGTAACCCAAAAGAAAGTACAAGTAAAGTGTTTACATGCTATGAAATACAAAAGCAATGTATGACTGCAATCTCTCACCTCCATGAAAACCCTCTTCTAATCTTTCTGTGTGGAAAAGATGACATTGTTGAACCTGATAGAGATGCTCTGACAAAAAAATCTAAATCAATAACCAGATGCACAAAGAACAATGAAGCCATCAGACAAAAAATTATGTTAATTGGTAAGATTCCCTATTTGACCTATTAGGACAATTAACAAAACATGCAGGTTACTGAATATTTTTTTTTTCTCTCTGCAACTTGCATGCATCTTTCTATTCTGCATATGAGCACTTTTCATAGCAAGCTTGAAGAGCAATGTATGAAAGCAAGCAGATTAAATCCAACACTGAGACCTACACAAACAATTAACTTGATCTTTCTACCTCACTCTTCTCTTCTAATGTTTGCTGAAAGTATAGCAAATACCCATAAACAAAGTCCTCTCGTCTATGACGTTATTAAACCAGACTATGAATCACATCTCGCAAAAAAAATTTGCATTGGGGCAGACAACGCCCTTGATCCAACATATAAAATGCAACCTTATTATTTCAACTAAATGTCAGGTAGGTTGACAGGAAATGCATTAATCAGGCACCTTTTGTTTAGAATTTCAACATCAGTTAAAACAAGATCTTTCTTATAATTATTGACCAAATATGGAAATTTCACTTCTTTCACTACAATGTTTTTTACTATTATTTTGTTATGATCAATTACTTAAATTTAACACTTGCAAAATTTACTATAGATAGACAAAGAGTACAACAAATATAAATGACAATACTTTTCAGCTTAAAATATTTTACTTAAATATATCTCAAGTTGCTGCCTCAATGCAATACTATTTATCTACACTACTTATAACTTTCTTTACTTTTTAACATGTATTGGCATGCCACCTGACTCCGACAAAAACCCTCTTACTTTTTGCTTCAAGAATACATTTTTCAGAGGTATCATAAACATGTATAGAGCAAACTGCCATAAAAATAACTAACACAGGGGGATTGTTGTCAATGTAGGAAATAACAGGGGAAAGAAAACACTGCTGATAAGTGCACTGAAACCCTTACATCACTGCCATCATTGTTTCAGATAATATACAATAACATTCAAAACAGCAGGACAAACGTAACCATATCCCACCAAATATAACTATACCATGAATAATTCATGAGCCTCTGACCTCAACTAGATGTATCATCAAAATAAGTGAACCATAGAACAATATGGAATCGAGCAGCAAAGACAGGGAACTCCTGTTTAACCAAGCAATAAAACAGAGGAACATGACTACCAGTGCTTCACTACGCAGAAATTATGAAATGTCAGTGAGTTTCATGTTCAAGTATCTTTAATCCAAGATCATGTCTCTCCTGAATATCTTATCAAGACCTCTACAGTAAGCTTTGCAAAATAAGCTCCACTATATAGGTGACCTGATAAATAAGCAGTGTAATATGATCCTCTTTCTTCTTACCTTTACAAGAGGGATGTGGCACAGTGAATTTCAAGATGCAAGGCACCGGCAATGGAATGAATTTGTTGACACCTTGATTGGTAGTGCAGTACAAAAACGTTGAGATTTCTCACTCATAACCTGCTCTACCTACCCATTCTGATCAATACCACAAGACTAACTGCCGCAGTCCATACATACACGCAGCTCACAGCCGGCAATGTGTACTCAATGCTCATTGGTTAACCTCTGACCCAGCTCTGTGTGTCAAACATTACTGGGTTGTGAATTATTAATGCTTAGTCGCTGTACATGTCATATATCACTAGCTGCATTCGTGAAATTACTGGCAAAAATATTATGGCAGCCTATATGTAAATACAGTCATAAATGGACTTTACGAACTAGACAACAAAAAATATTCAGCAGAGGTACTTATCTAAGCTAACAATGCAATTTCCACTTTTTTTTGTATCTTATGCTATGGCTCAATGCCACAATTACATGGTCAAGTAAAAAAAACATCCTGACATTTATTGTTACTTTACACCACTCTAACAGCAAAAAAAAATCAACCCTGAACAACGGAATAAAACCAAGGTACACAACATAATGACTTCATACCATATATTTACAAAGGTGAAAATGCAAACAGACAATATGTTTACTTTATATCATGAAAATTTTGCAAAGCGGAAATATAAAATCTCTTTGCCTCATTTTCTGATTTTCACTGATAAGCTTGTTTATTTTGTGAAAATCAGGTGCCATATCATAAATGGGGCAATCAGTCTGCTGCCAAAGCAATGATTAACAACTATTTGTGGATAAGTATGCTTTTTATTTTCAGGATAATACTTGTTTTTGCTTTAAGATGAAATTTCAGAGCACAGCCAAATCAAAAACATTTATCTATAAATCTGCTAATTTTAAATTGCAACAAATTTGTTATTTACCATGTCTAATTTTCTGAGTGCCACTGAAAAAAATTAGATACCTAGTTTGAAAATTCAAGAGACAAGTAGACTGCAATTTCCTTTGTCTAAAGCACGCCTCAAAACCAAGTTGAAGTAATTATGAACACCTGTTAGCCCTTCCTTCCCACAATTTACTTCTATTATTAGTGGAGCTACAAAGCTGTCTGCTTTCTGTTACAACTTGATTTCTCAACTGGTAATGCACCATAATATGAAGAATGGGCTATGTTTTCATAAGTACAAATATTTTTGAAAAGGGTCACTACAACAACGACTCATAGTCTTTACAAGGGGACAATGGAAACAAAATCAAGGTTCACTTCATTTCTTGCCACACTAGCCACCAATAAGATCACCATTTTGTTTTCAATTACATTACATTAGAGTGTTCCCTTTTTGAAAATATGTATCAAAAACAAGATTTGAAATACTATAAAAGCATAACAAGTAAAAGCCAGAGACTAATTAAGTAAGTTTTTTACTATTAAAAAGTATATCATTAAATTGGCATACTTGAATTCTCAAAATGATTTGATATTTGTTTCTATTAACAAAGCACGTGTTAAATTACACAAAAACTTTGTTTCCTTTAAGAAAAGCTATACATGACTTAAATAAGACTTGTGGTGTTATATTGCCATTCTTAGAAACAAAATAGAAAAAGCAAGTTCAATATGCTTTTTGTTAAAGAAAAAAAAAGAATGGCAAGGCAAGAGTGTACAATTTCTAGATTTAAATTTCTAATCTTACTTCATATTTGTTACTACTGTATTAGCACAATGAGCTTCTATAACTGCAAATACCGTGCACCTAACTCTCCTGTACAATTAAAAAATTAAATAACACTTAATTTCAAATAGTAATATTACTCAGATGCAGAATTTTCTATGAGGGGGGGGGGGTCTTAAACTTTAAAGGAATAACAATTATTCATTTTGGCTAAAAAATGGATTTTCCTGGGGTAAACAAGAAGTTTCCCATACTATCTAAAGGTTAATGAATCCATTCCAACATTCAAAGTTAGTCCATGTACTTTTTTTATTTTTGCAATAATCTCTCAAGAGATTATTACAGAGGGTAGCCATCTATGGAGGTCACATGGTCCTATGGCAAGCACAGATTCCAGAATAATTACAATAACTGCCATTGTAGTGATAAAATAGAATTTATTAAATTTGTATGAGTTGTTTACACTGTATCTATCCTGAAATATGAATCTCATATGAAGAGTTGTTATCTCTTTAAGCATTCCAATTTTTATTTTCAAAAATATGTGCTTATTTCTCAAATTAATGTCCCTGCTCTTAGATTGAAATTTTCTTAAGTTAAAGTACACAGAATATAATATATATAATTGTCAATTTGGCTAAAGCAAACAGAAGAAAATATGCCCTAGAATCCAGAGGCAAAAGTATTTTTTTAAGTTTGAATTCAAAGTCAGTCAAAAGCAACAGAAACGTCTTAAGATACAACAAAAATTGTTAGTTGAATTCTCTTACCCTTAAATCCTGTTATACCAGCCTTACTGTATCCAGTAACAAAATCAGGATAATACTATTAGCCATTAACTATGAAATTGGAAGACTGTAGAAACCCATTACAACCTCACATAATTATGTTGGCTCTGTTATCAAGTCATTAAAGATACTGAACCAGCTAGAAGCTTTATAATATGCTAGCAAAAGTAGCCTTTCCATTTGGCTGGTGTCACAAGAAACAGAACTCCAGTGAAAAAAGTCCAGTTATTAGTTTGCTCTCTCTCTCTTCACAAATCAAGACTCTTGATTTCTGAACATCAACAAACTCAATGAGTTCTTATGTAAATTTGGTGTTCTTGTATGACAGAGGAAATTGACTTCCATAAATTCATAGGATATGGAACTGGTTTTCCTGGTGATCAAGCAATCCGGACTTCAGTATTATCTATATCTCTGCCTACATGACTGAAGTCATGGAATATACAAAGATAGTCTAGACTGATCTGGATATCACACTTCTGTTTAAAATAAATACCAGTAGCACTGGAAAACATGCAGCCCTTCCTACTTTATTTCATTACTGCATCATTTCATTTTACATATAGGATTTAATAGTTTTTACAAGAATGTATCTTTAAATATATTTATATATATTAACACATTATCCTTGTTATTTTATATTCATAAAGTCATTTCCCTTTTTCAACACCATTTTAGAAGCACACTATTCCTCATTCAGTTTAATTTTTAAAAGATACCACAGCTCTATTAACATATCAAACTAAAAGAATTCTTAAAGGTTGGTTAGCTTTATAAATAGGGGTTATAAAATGAAATGTTCCTTTGATGTTATCCAACTACATCTGGATTTCAGATGCAGGGAAATGGCTTTACTGCACAAATAATGCTATAGAGGTGACACTGTGAAGTCTCTTCTCTAGCACAACTGGTGCTTTCTTTTTCTCATATTCCATTGTCTAATATCTCAGAATACCACAGAGATACATGACACAGATATGAATGATAAATGTTTTATACTTGATTATAAAAATGAATGAATGAACAAAATGTAATATTCTTTTACTTAAGCATGGACTAAATATAAAATGAACTTTTCTTTCTTTCTGGTTGCAATATTTCACTCATTCTTTTTGCTATATTTTAAATTTAATTTTAGTCAGACACAGTACTAAACAACAGCCCAAATTGCCGAAAACACCAAATGTAGAAATCAAAAATGACCCACTAACCTGATGGTCCTTCAGCTTGGCCTCTAGCTCCTCTTGGCTCCAAGTGGCACGCAGACACAGTGGAAGAAGTTTCACTTCCACCTCATGAAGCCAACGTCTCAAACCATTCAGGTCTTGCTCTAAATCTATAATATTTTCATCAAAATTTCTAATCCATCTTTCAAAGTTATTTGCAATTTTTTTTTTAATTTGATAATAAACACATTGTCAAATTTAGATATCTAATCTAAAAGTTTGGAGACACTTATTTAAGTCATTCAAAAATCTGTTTTTCTGAATTTTTTCTCAGATTTAAAAAAGTATTTTATAATATGACTCATCAACAGAATAAAGATTTTCATAATAAATACCTCGAAGCATTTGCTCTTCATTTTGATGTCCATGTTTAGGGGAAATGGCTTCCTGAATATGACCCCACTGAGAGTTGACGAACTGAAGCCTAGCATTGATCTCTTCCTTCATGTTGGGGTACCTCTTGGCCAGCTGTTTGGCATAGTCATTGAAGAGTTTGCGTCTTGGTGATCGTTGCAGCATCTCTTCATGATAAGACTGAATATTAAAAACAGGCATACTTAGAAATCAGAACATGATAAGAGTTTTGGAAGAATTCTAAATGATAATTTCTTGTTATCCTAACCTCATTTTTTAGATTGCTTATCAAGGCAGGTAACTAAATAAACAGGTTACACAATCACACCACTGCAACTTCAGAATGTTCATCTACGTCATGATAATAATATATACCAACCTCATTTATTCTTTTAAATAAATCATCGTAATGTCATGGTGAAACACAAAAAGGGCTAATGTCTAAATCAACTTTCTTTTATCAAAATACTTCTCCAAATTGTGCAATTCAGTTCACCTGATTAAGGTACTTCTCTGACAGACTCATGCTCTGCCGCTGGGTGACAAGTTTGATTTGATTTAACCAATCTGTGAGCTCTTTATATTGCTGTATGAATTCAGTGAAGGACACATTGGGAAAGGTGGTAGAATCATCATCATCCCAAGACAGGTCACTCTCAGTGGACTGAAAGAATAAGACAGAAATATATATTTTTGTACAATCTTTGCATTGGTACATTAACAATTACAGATAGTTTATAGAAAATTACAAGTGGATAGAAACAAATTATATAACAGGTAAAGCTTTGCTCCACCACAATAATTTTCCTTTTCAAGTACTAATTTTATACATGTTTTAATGCACTGTAGCAGCCAGTTTTAAGACATGAAGTTATGCTCCATATGGGGTATAAGGTCTAGATGTTGAGGTCTACTCAGCAGGGTGACTTATAGTTAGCTGAAATACAGGCTTCAAACACCTGCACATGAATGAGCCCATTGTGAATTCTCCCTCCTCCATTAAAATCTTTTAAAAGTTTCATCTCCAACAAATTAATATTGGAACTTGAAATGTGAATAAACTGTAGGTAATGAAAGAAGTACTTTCTTTCTAATAAACATCATTTTTAAAGACAAAGTATTGAATTTTCAAAATTCAATACCACTCGTGAGGATTAAAAAAATGGCTAAAAATGATACAGTGCAATCTCCAAACCCCATACCTTAAATCAACATATCCATCTATATGAATGAAGTTCCCATCTTTCACATGGAGAAAAAGATTTTGTACCATATTAAAATGTTTAAATCATGATATTGAATGACATCCATATAACTCCTACTTTATTAATATTTACAGTTTATTTTCTTTGAGCCATATCAATGGGTATTCACTCCTAGCTATTTCATCTTTTGTTAAACTTTTTTCAAATACAGTTTTCATTTTCCTTATCAAAAACAGACATCCTGATAAACAGTTTCCTATGCCTCTCTTCTCCAGACTGTTATCTTGTTTATCTGTGCATTCAACAGACCCTAGATGCAGCTGCCCAAGCTAAAGAGTTTCCATGACAACACATACCTTACCTATAGATACAGAAAGGCAACCTGGCTAACTCAAGCCCAGCAGTATAAGAAATGCTTTATAAAACCAATATGGTTAAGTTTTGGTTTGTGAATATATACATGTATAAATTGATCAGTACATAAATCTATACCAGTTGTCTTATGACATGAGGGGACCTCTAATTCATAAAATATTCATGGAATGCTCTACGTGAGAGAATTTCAACAAAAAGAGGGTAAAGGCTTCCAGTTAAACTATAATTGACTGCAATATGAGAGATATTCCCATGTGAATGTCAAATAATTGGTGCCTATTATCAAAATATGGCAAATGTTAATTATTATTGGGTAATGTTATAAAGAAAGGTTGTGCCTACTATTAGCCATCTTCTTAAAAGACTTATAAGGATCTGTACTAAATAAAACTTTAAATGCATTAAAAGGGCAATTTTCATTTAAATCTCACATTCAAGTTTATTTTGCTCCACTAAATATACACAAACAACCATAAAATGTTAACATATGACATTCCAATAGGTGAAAATTATAAAAACTATAATTCCTGAGAGCATAGCTTGCAATTTTTCACTGCATTTAGACCAATGTCCATGTGAAAATATGATCAAAAGGAAGACTGGACCTAGGCTAATCCTAAAATCTTTCACCTTCAATTCCCAATTTTCGATCCATGTAATAATAAGATATCATATTCTAGAAAGCTGGCAAGAGCTTCCTAATTGTGCTAAGCAGAGTGTTTTAACACAAGTGCCAACAAGAGCATTTTTCACATTTTAAAGCATTTCAAATGCCATTCACCTCATACACTTATGACCCAGTCACCCTCATTCAAGTAGTTTCTTCATAACATTTCTTTCATCTTTTAGTTTTAGACCAAATTTTATCACTGGTGCAGAATTGATCTTATGCTCACAGCTATACCAACCAATCATCATTTTCAGTCTTGAATTTCATTCAATACAAATTATTTTCATCCAATTGTATCTGAACTTGTTTTGAACTGTAAAGCTATTACAAAGGCACAAGTACTGATCTGGATGGCTTCCTAAATTTGTGATGTGTCAGTGAAAAAAAACCTGACTCATCTCAAAACCTGTTTCAATAAAAATTCACAGATATCACATTTCAGACAACAATACAGAGTTCAACACTTAAAAGGAACCGTGAGAAATGAAATATATCAATCTTTCAGCACATGTTACACATTACTGCAAGGTCGGCATTTAATATATGTAGAGGTATGAATATTTAATTACAAAGAATAAAAACTGATTCAGTGAAAAACTTTGAAAAAATACAAATAGATACAAAAATAATTGAAAATTCTTCCAATTACACCCACCTTACAAGTCTCTATGATCTCATCATCCATAAGATACTGGTAGTCAGACTGGATGGCTGCCCACAAATCTTCCTTGGCCTTCTTATAATTCCCCTTCATTGCTTTCCGTGCCTTCAGCCCCAGGGGCGAAGCTTGGGGACTGCTCAGGCAGCTGTCACTCCATTCATCATGGCTGCTAACGAAAGATCTCTCAGGAGAGTCGCGAAAACTTTGATGAAGGGTGTCAGTGCTGGCTGAAGACAGGGGGCTATCCAGTAGAGGGTCCAGGACAATTTTTCTTCTCTTCGTGACTATTGGTGATTCTTCAGGCCCAAGACTGGCTGCCCTGGGGGATTTACGCCCACTGCTAGGAGACAGACGTCCACTCTGAGTTGGAGACATTCTGCCTTCTTGTACAGAGGCTGTTTTATTCAGACTAGGTGACATGCCGACATCAAGGATCATGGGAGGCGATGACCTGCCATCTGTGGTACTTGCTGGCGACATGCACCCATCTTGTCTCATAGGAGAAAACCTTCCAATCAGCTTCTGTGGCCTACGTCCACCCCCTTTAGGGCTCCTCCTCCCATTAGCAATGGGGGACACCCTACCTTCTTTGTATTTTGGTGATCGCCTTCCACTTCTGCTTGGTGTGGACACACCTGTTGGATAAAATGGTTGGCAAGAATTAGGGTTGTCAGGCAAACTGGGTCCAGAATGGATCACACCTGCAGTGGCTTCCATTTTGCAGCTTCTTGGTGGTTCAGCTATGCCACTAGACACAAGGTTTCCATATTTTTTCTTATGAGTAAAATCCTGAGAGAAACCACACTCTGAATCTGACAGTCCTGCCTGACTCTGATATCCTGACACTGTACTCCAATTATCAAAAGAGCTCTCTGCTGTTGTGTAAGATATCTCAGAACAAATGTCAGAGATATCAATCTTTTTCCTAGTTTTTAGTTTTCTTGGCGTGAACAAGAAATCACTGCCAGGGCTTCTTTCCCTTTCTGTATCATGGCTGTATTTTGGTGATGCAGACCGTGTTCTCCTCTGAACACTGCTTTTAATTACAGCTCTGTATGATCCAGAAAGTCTTGTAACAAACCTTCTACCTTTCAATGCTAGGGAAGAATGGCTGCCACTCAAATCCAAGGCGATGCGCTTCTCTCTAGGGTTGGGTAATTTTTCATACAAGGGACTTGTCCTAGTGCCACTGTTTAAGAGATACACACTTAAATCAGTGGTGGTTGTAAAATGCCTACGATGTTTCAACAAGGCACTAAGCTTGTGCTTTAAAACTCGATAGTGGAATTCGAGTTCTGCAAGATTGACATCAAGTGTGAAGCTCCAGTTGTCATGGAGATGGCTATGTCCTAGCCTTAGAACAGCAAGCACATGCTGACCTTCTAAGCGCACTTGGCGACGTAGTTTCTGAAATGAAAACAATATTCACTATCAGGGCAATGTCATTATATACCTGAAATAAACTTAAACTATGTGCATACAGCATGAAAAGCATGATTTGACTACAAGCAATTGAACCTGGTCAAAAAACAAAAAACATTTTTCTTGTAAGTCAAACAGTGAAGGAAATCCCTGCTTTTTAACAAAATTCAGTTGTACCTTAAAAGCAACAAGTCTCTCTCCTTACTAAACAGTACTTTTATTTTCCTTGCACCAACTAACAACATTAGAAATTACTGAACTGTTTACTCTTCTCAAAATAAACAAGTTACGATGCAGAGTGGGTCAAATGAATTTTGACCCCAGTAAAAAAAAAGACATCTTCAAATAATAAGCTACATATAAATCACCACAAACATTTGACAAACTGAATAATATACACTAGCACAAGACAAAGCAGCATTTCTGATGCGACAAACCTCACAAGAGACAATTCAATTGTTAGTCTAAATTATTAATCTTCTATTTCAATGGAAATTGGGAGATCAAAAGAGAATAAATATCGATAATTTTGTGTCTGCTCAAAGAGGTAAGTATACAACTTGGTAATTGGATTGGCAGCCTGGAAAACTTCCACTGCAACTAGGATGAGGTATATTTGTTACTAATAGTTTGTATAAGGAGTAGCTAATATACCATAAAAAGAAAACATAAGACAGGATAATGTACCCCTTAGAATTAGTTATAAGCTTCCACAGCCCCAGTTCCTTCCCCCTTAATGTTGCGTCACATTTTTTTTACTCTATTGAAATACCCAACAAATTACTCACTTAAAAATGTCTGAAAGGCTTTTAGAATAAAGAAAAAATAATCGTACCAAAACAAATATTAAGCATCATGCATTCCTCTTTCATTCTCTCATAGCTTCCTCTTTCACTTCCTAATATCATTTAATTTTTTTTTAACCTGTTTTCATAGAGTGTTTACCTTAGTGCAGGTGGAAAGCATGCCCCCAAGTTCAACTTACTATATTCAGTCTTAAAAAATACCAGTAAAAATACCCATCCAAAATACTGTATGCAGCTGTTAAGTATTCCATGTACCTAATAGCTATGCATATTTCTGGAATATCCTAAGAGACATTTCACTGTCTATTTCACATCAAACACAGCAATGTTTCACCCTTGCATGAGAACTACATTTATCTACAGCAGTAGCGATTAAACAGGCATTTACATGTAACATCTTGATTAACATAAATGTTTATAGAAGTAGATGATGAAATATTGCAAACTAAACTCTCAGTTTCCACAAGATATACAATGTCAGCAATATTCAAGACAAATTATAACAAACATTTTCATTAAAGCATATATACCTCTGGAAAGCTCTTTTTCTAATTCTGTGTCACTCATTTTAAATTTTGTCTAAAAAATGCAGTGACATGGACTTGTTTCTTTTCATTAAAGCATATTACCGTATACCACTGGCAAGCTTTTTTTCCAAGTCCGTCACTCTTTTTCAATTTTGTTTTAAAAAATGCTGTGACATGGACAAGGTTATTTAAATTGAAAATGTGGAGCATGTGCTTGATATGCTTGCTCATGATAATGTTTTATATCTGATTATCACCTTTATGCAAACTTTTAGTGATTGTGTATCAATTTTGGGGGAAAAGAGGTGTAAAATTAATTTAAATCTAAACTGTCTGGGAACTGTATAAATAACCAAAACACAATGGACATAGCAATATCAATCAAAAAAGGAAAACATTTCGAAATATTTTCAGCTTCATTCCAATTGGGTAATATATTTTTTCAATCTGCAAAATATTAGACTCAAGAAGTGACTGTTGCCATATCAAGGATAGAACAGTAAAAGATTCTGCTGTACTGGCAGAGAAGCATAATAAGAGTGCAAACCAATTCAAGTATAGACACCACAATGGTCACAATATTGATGGGTTTCACAAGCTTTCTAAGTAATGTACTGCTTATGTTTATTGCATACTATATAGAAATGCTTTCTTCTTATATAAAGCAAATGTGGCACTTTACTCATCACCACCAAAGAGGGCAAAACTTATTCTTTTCATTCTGACTAATTTCAGCAAGCTGATATCCCATGTGAGGTATATATTTCATATATAGTACTAGTAAATTGGTTATCAATTCCTTGTGCAATTCCTGAGCAATACATCACTATCATCATCAAATGATGGAAGGGTGCCAGGACAGTAAATAGAATATGAATCAGCAGATAAACGACCTCATGCAGACATCAACTGACCTTATAATCTCCATTCCATCCATCCTGCTGTCAGACTCTGCAGACCTAACCGTTGGAATATTCAACATTTTAAACTCTGCATTCCAGTTATAGTCACATGGGCAAACAGACACTAGGAACTCTGTATCTGATAATGCGTGAATCTGATACTGGATTCAACTGCACTAGCTGCCATATCCCAAATGAATCCTACATACCATCTATTTCAGTCACAGTCCCAAATTAGAAACACTGTAGTATCTATTTCAATCACTATCATGACAATGAATGTGAGATAATAACAGTTAAAAATTAGGATAGTCTTTTGGGTGTTAGGAATGTCCCTAATTTCTGTCACATTGATGTTCAAAAATGGTGCATTCTTAATAACATTAGGCTTAAGCAGGGCCAATGTACCTGTTGTAAGAGAACTAGGAACTGTGCTAAATAAGCCTATAGCCAAACTATTGATTACATAGCATTTATGACAGTTTGTGAGCATCTGGCTGACAAAATTCCTGCTAGTATCTGTAAATAGTGCAAAATGATGATATAAATGGTTGAGGACACAACAAGGATAAAACAAATGAAAAAGTTGGATTCAAGTAGCGTATGTTCATTCGTATTGCCTCTTACCTACTGTAAGCATTTTTCTTCTTGTACTTGAATTAATCTATAGGATATATCACTGGTATATGAACAATATCTGGGCTCAGTGTCATACCTGCTCTCACATATCATAATCTTGAAAGTGTGAAGTCACCAGTGATTTTTCCCCAATTACTAGGCAAAACTGATCTTATTTCCTTGAGTCACTTTTCTCTGATATCAGTCACTGAAAAATTGTATGCAAGTTTTAAACTGATATTTGGCTCAGTGTGGATGGATGCATGCACAATAGAAGCAAGAAATAGAGATATATACATTGTCTTAATAGGATTTATGTTCACCGTTGAAAAATGTTTCCAGACCTACAAAGTCAACTTCTATTTGCAACAATGGGCAACTGGTAAGTTTCATGAGGTCCTATTGTGCTAGATATAAAATGACAGTTCTTTACTGAAAAGCCATTACAATGAATTCATATCTCCCATGGGGGCTTAAAGTCTGCCGAATGTGAACCACCTAACAAAAATGTTGGCAATGAGTTATGGCACACAGAACTGCTTGGCATCTATACACACTTTCATAATATTTCTTATGACCTGTAGATACCACTTACACAACATGATTTCCAGAATGCACCTCAAATTAGCAAGTGAAAAAAGACATAACATGAGGTTAAGTCCACTTTCTTAATCTCAAAATCAAGCCAAACTTTTACTTCCAGATAGGCTGATATGGTCAACAGTTTTCTCCCAAGGGTAACTGACTGGTCTCAAACAGTCAAAGGTTGTGTGATGTGACAGCCTATAGAAATAACATAAAATTTTAAAATGGAAAGACACATTCAGATCAAAAAAGACAAACTTATTTCTCTTTTTGTGGCAGATGACGTCGGGGGGGGGGGGGGGGGAGAGATTTAACTTTTCTCACCTTTCTTACAGCTTTGCAGTTGAATCAACAAGATGAAATTAATATACTTTTTACATTTTGAAATTAAAATTTGGTAAAAAAAAAGTTTTCCATGTAAATGTCAATATACTAATTTTTCAATTATGTTACGGAAATGTGGATAGGTAGGCAAATGCTACTTACCAGCAATAAAACATCTTTAATTATGAGTTTTCACCATCCATACATACTAAGCATATTGTACCTACAACCATGTATTGCACATTAAGACCTCACTCTAATGTAGCATATGATAACCAAATTACATCTCATCTCATAAGAGTTCCTGTACTATAACTTTCCAGGTGCTTGTCCTGTCAGACATTCAGACTAACTACTAAATTAACGTACAGGTTCCCTGTTGATTAAGATGCTGCCTGCTCATCAGTTTATATAAAAGCCTGTGTAAAGAGCCCCATGGGATGGTGGTAGCTAGTTTACAGTAGGAGCAAACCTTGAATGTTTTCATATATCACATCCTCCATCAAAGGTCATCTTCACCTGACCCTTGCGATTATTTCCCCCTCTCACCTTCTTGAACATATTCTTCTTGTCCCTATATTTTCCAAAACTGATTTTTTCCCAAAACTTTGAATGAATTAATTAAGAACTAAAGGACTTTTTGTGAAAATGTAGTCTAGGTTAGCTTTATGTCTTACCTCTACAGTGGCCAGATGTTATATGCCTACAGTGTGTACTGTATCTTACCAAAGATCCATAGCAAGAATTTAGCACCTCTCTCAATGTTGGTTTCCTGAGGATATCTAGCTAAAGAAGAGGGATGAACTTTTAGGCAGCCGTTTTACAGACTTCAGATCTAGAACACCAAAAGTGCCCTGCTACGCAGGTGACTAAGGACAGTCTATATCCAAGGAAGATAAAAGGAGCTTCTTATAAAACCTCCCCAAGAGGCAGCTGGCACAAAATGTAAATAAAACAATGATAAGATATAACGGAAGATGTCGGACAGATAAGAATCACAGCCTGGTGTCATACCCATGCATATGCAAATTTCTTTCTACCAATGTCAGAAATGTTAGGAAAAATTCTTGTCATCACTTACTGATAACAATCACAAGAACACCAGTGAGTGAAATGCCTTGATTATAATCTTGGGTGTCAACTTGCCAAGTCTTGATACTAGAAATTTGATTATATAACTCAATGAGCTATATATATAGCTCTTTGTATAACAAGAGTCAAGA